AGACCAAAGATATAACACACACTCAATACTGAAATAACCTCTGTCGACATAATCTCCCAAGAAAAGGTATCTGGTATCAGCTGGATCTCCACCAACTTCAAAAAGCTTCATTAAATCGTAATATTGTCCATGAACATCACCACAAACAGTAATTGGCGCATCCATCTCCAGAAGGTTAGGCTCTTGCTTCAATACTTTTGTACCCTCTTCGAGGATGAAAAGAGCTTGTTCTTCGGTCAAGCGACCTTCTCTGTAGAAATGTTGCTTCAAGAATTGTAAATTTGGCTTGGAAGGATCTTGTGGCGAAAAGAATTGTTGATCTGTCGGTGGGACCATAGCAGGTGCTTGTACATCTGCAATTATATAGATTTAGCATCGCGCTCCGGCAGTTGCGCATCTTGAATTCAAACATACCTTTGCATACTCTTTCCATCGTGCTCACTTGACTTCCATCTTCCATAGTATGCAGAGTAAAATCAATCTCTGGCACAGGTTTCTTCTGATGAATTGCTCGCAAAGCATTATCAACTTGCATTCTGTTCTCAATGCCCGCTGGCGCAAGTGGGGTCAGCGGGGTTTTGGGTTGGTCCTCGCCGTCCATGATGGCGAACGGTGTAAAGGATGAAGGAATATGGAATTTCCTGGTGACTGTCGTGTCACAAGAGGAATCAGTCGTAAGTGGATATTTGCGATCGGGATAGGAAAGCGGATGGCAAAAAGAAGCTGAAGAGAAAGGGGAGTTTGATCAATACAGGCGAATTGGACCCTTAAAGTAAGCAGACAAATTAAGCCGTAAATAACTTGTATCAGCTCCTGAGCAAATTGAACAAATCCGAACGAAGACTGTAAAGAAGCTTTGTTGAAGATCAAAGGAAAGGGCAGAGTATATTGAACTCGCTGTCGTTGGTAGCTGTTGTCAATAAGGCTGACAATCGGATAAGTTTTAAAGGGTTCAAGTTGTTTGTGTTTCGGGGAAGGTTAAGCCAAAGCTGGAGGTGAAGTTTAATAAAAAGGCGGCAAATCCCAGGGTGCTGCCAGACTGCGAGACTGCCTAACAAAATTGGTAAGGGTGAGTGCCTAAGCAAAAACGATTATCTGTGGGGATTCTTAAGCCTCGACCAACTTTCTACCCATTCACTGGTTCCACATCACCACAACTTATATTATCATTCATTACAAGGACAGACAGGAAAGACGAGGAAAGACGAGGATAGAAGAGAAGACCAGAAGACCAGAAAGTACAAATATCCATCTAACATATATACCTAGGTATATCTACTTCATATATACACATATATACGTCCTCCATATACACACACCTTCTTCTTACATATCTTCACATCTACATATCTACATATCTACATACATAGGCACATCTATCTACACGAAGTAAAGCAACCAATCCAATCTTCAACGCAAACCCATCTTCAGAGTTCATAGTCCTCGAGCCAGATCCAGATCCAGATCCAGGGGCATAATCGATATCGCTTTTCCAAGACTATCCAGAACCCAACCTTCTTCTCTTCCACTTCTTCGAGAACAATACACGCAATCCCTTTTATCGGGAAAAAAGACAAGGGTCGTCAATTGTTTGGTAAATCTTATTCCATTTAATTGTCTGTTATTACTTGGAAGAAACGAAGACCAATTGATAGAAGATTACTGGTCATAGCTCTTTCTCAAGATCCATTTAAATCATGGACAACCGTTGAGTGCCCCCTTGTACAACTTCACCGATAGAGGAACGCAAGAACTAACAATGCTCAGGTACCCATCCACTGTTAGCGCAGGTACCTCTAACGGTCTCACCGTTTGTCTCTCTTCCTACTGCGACTACTCTTCCATACACATATAAATCTCTTCCCTCAACGTTACCACCATCATCTACGGTAGCTTCAGCCTCGTCCAGCGACGGGAGATCGCAATACGTGGTATCATCGTCGGGCCACGCAGCACATCCAGATGAGATAATTGCATCTTGCAAAGCACTTCAAGCTTATATACAGAAAGTTCAAGACGATGCAGATAGGGAGTTGCAGGCATGGGAAGATGCGATAGCTGCAAGAGAACTGGCAGAGAAGCGTAGAGTAGCTCCTGGATGGTTGGACAGCGATGCTCGGATATTAGAGCCAGAGAAGAAGGCAGTTGCAGGAGGTGAAAACCTTATGGATGTTGATGTGTCAAATAATGATGCTTCACGCCTCGCACAAACCCCCGTGGCTGTACCAAATCAAGAAGGTGACGAACTCGATAGAGCGTTTGGAGGAATGGGATTAAATATACCATGATTATGAGACGACTACCAGAAGACGAACAAATGATTAATTTAACAGATACTACATATATCTACTTTTTTACTGTTCTGCAATTTGTGACGTAACTGAAGCTTCGAATATCGCGACATAAGCCTTGTATTCAAGGCACAAACACCAACCTTCAAGGTTGAGCTTCCCAAAATCTTCAAATTTGTCTCTCTTGCTTCGACCATAATGCCTCCACGAATACCTGGGGCGAGAACTGGCTGGAAAAAATCCCTTCGAACGCCAAATAACTTCGAGAAATTGCATATCTGCCCGATATGCACTTTATCTCAATATTCAGAGAGGCCTCGGAGTGAACCTCGACAACGCAAACTCTTACCCACCCCTCAATTACCAGTCCGGCAATCATCTTCTGCTCCTACAAAAGCTATAAATAATGGAAGAACTGGTAACATCTCCAGAATAGACCGCAGTTCTCTTAGAGAGGCATTACTCGACGTACAAAAACACGCCACGAATTATGTGAATATTTCCAGGTTACAACTTGCGTTAAGAGGCTTAGAACAACCTGAGGGTCAAGAGACAATAAGGGTTGCAATATTAGGACTGGCAGATGGTGGAACCTCTCTTCAAAAGGCTAAAGAGCTCCTGAGACTCATTTTGGCAGATCCGTTGAAGGCAGAGGAGGAATGGGAGCGGCGTATAATCCATGGTGATGACATGAATCGGCCACTATTGATAAGAGTGGGACATAATGAGGAAGAAAGCTCGGAGCGGAATGGCAGGCTAGTACATGAAATGAACATTTCTTCTCCGATGTTCAATGGGCACAAAATGGAGATTTTAATCTTGGAAATGGAACCTCCAATAGTCAACGGAACCGAACTTTTCGAAGAAACGGTGTTAGTACCGACAATGGAGATACCGTCTAGTGCAGCCCGTTATACTCCAGTTACAACGCCCGTACATAAATCGTTCCTTCTGGGTCAAGGAGTTATGGGAGCAGTCTCTCTTCTTTCGTATCCTCTGCATGCAAACCGAGAATCTATCGGAAGTGCTGTCAACGTTCCAAACTTCGAATCAAAATCTCTACCTATACCATCTATCGATATTTCATCTGGAAATGAAGCTCTGCAAACATTTCGTAAGAGTATTGAGAATGCGATGGCTTACGAGCGTCAATGGTTGTCAAGCGGTATTCCAGAAGTTATTGACTGGATGAAGTCAGGTGCATCCTCAACTCAAGACACTATCAAAGAACCACTCCTCAGATTGATCTTATCTATCATACAAAATGCGGATAAAAACCTGAAAGTAGAACAAGCCAGACAATTGTCCCTTCTTTTGTCTACTCGAATACCGTCAGCCCAGATGATATCACTACGTCACGAGCTCTCTAGTTGGTCTGAACGTGCTCATACTGAGCTTCGGGATCAATTGGATGTAGCATTTGGTGGTCAGAGATGGCGTAAGCTGGGTTGGTGGAAGTTGTTTTGGCGTGTCGACGATGTTTCTATGATCACGTCTGATATGCTGAGCCGAAGCTTCTTGATTGAGGCCGAAAAAGAGATCATCTTTCTAGCGGGACGGACAGAAGAAGCTGGAGTCTATCGAAACATATCTCTTGATTCTGACTCTACACAGAGCTCTGATTGGGCTTACACACCTGTCCAGGAGGCCCTTCCAGAAGGATTACCTCCTCCACCAAAACTTCGAGATGTTATCCCAATCAAAGCGGATGAGGATACACCGATGAAGATACAGCCGCAGCCTTGGCCTTTACATATTCCCATTGCTAGATCATTCTTATCTACAACTACCATTCCTGCTCTTCAAGCCTTAGCGCAAAAGCTTGTTCTGCAAACCCTCAGTACTTCCTCCTTGACTTCGGCCCTTGCCGGTCTAATGTATGTGAGTAACATGTCTACAACTTTATACGAAGCAGGAGCAGTCGCCGCCTTTGGAATAGTGTGGAGTATGAGGCGGATGCAAACCAAATGGGAGACTACGCGGGCATACTGGGAAGGAGAGGTTAGGGAAGAGGGTAGAAAAGCTGTGAGAAACGTGGAAACGATTGTTGGAGAGAACCTGAACAAGGCAGAGGAAGGCAAAGGATTAGATCCAGTCATTGAACGAGATCTGGAAAAAGCACGGGAAGCCATTAGGTCTGCGCAAGAAATCATACGTTGAGAACCAACGAATAATTAGCATCGATGTAACATTATTGTATTATGAAACAATGCTCAGCTAATTGTAAATCAACAAATAATTACGGAACATCATTTGCAGCTTGTGGTAAACGGGTTTCTTATAGCAAATGCATGGAACACTCAAAACATTTCACAACAGATTCTTTCTTTGCATTTTCACCCTGGTGTTTTTGCATGACATGCAAGGAAAGACTTATGCATGAACACTTCATGAACACCTATAATAGTTTTCCGTTCTTTACCCCATTTTTTCCCAATCAATTCACATGTCAACTTTGCAGTGAATTTTCAGTCACGTGCTGTTAATGTGGATGATATCCTCAGGCAATCATGCTTCTCTAGCGCCTGGCTGTTCCAAGGTTCGAAAGCCATTGGCAATAAACTCTCGAATCTTCAACTTTGCGACACCAATTAACTTTAATTATACAACATTTTGTAATTACTCTTCTCCGCAAATTATCTCTTGTAGCAGGCCACTCCGTTTCTTTTGTCAAAAGCTCTTTCTGATGCATAATAGATCCAGTGCAATATGTCTACTCCAGATTCAGGTACCATAGATACTCAAACGGCAAAGTGGACGAAAACCGATGTCGAAAAATCTCCAGAGGACGAGAACTCATCAATCCACGATAAAACAGAATTAAAGCTTGCAGAGGTCGACGGAGAATCTGCAGAATCTGAAAAATTAGAAAATCATGCGACATCCCAAGATTTATCAACAGGTACAGAAGAGCAAGGCGTCACTTCAGATAATGATACGAATTTGAATGAGAATCAAAATGGTGAAAGTGATTCAGGCGAGAAAGATATTGCTACCGAGGGCCCGCCATTACCTGAAGAACCTCTACCGCCCCTCCCAAATGAAGAACCTCCAGTTGTCGCACAAGAAGACGATGGTTGGGCACCAGTCTGGGATGAGACAAATCAAGCCTTTTACTTCTTCAATCGATTTACCGGAGCCACACAATGGGACAACCCTCGTGTTCCAGAAGTCGCGCAGCCTGGTCCACCAGGCGTACCAGCTACAAAGCCTGCTGTTGTACCTATAGAAATTGACCCAACTTCTCGTCCAGCCGGTGGCTATGATCCTGCTATTCACGGAGATTATGATCCGAACGCCTGGTATGCGCAATCAACGGCAGCCGAAGAACCAGCAGCTGTTGGGTTAGATCCAGCCGCCGCCTACGCAGCAACTGGCCAATTCAATCGATTTACAGGACGTTGGCAAGCCGCAGAAATCAATCCGGAGAACTTCAATGATGAGAACAAGAGTAAAAGACAAATGAACGCTTTCTTCGACGTTGACGCTGCGGCAAATAATCATGATGGTAGAAGTTTGAAGGAAGAACGCAGTGGCAAGAAGCTATCCAAAGCAGAACTAAAGCAATTCAAGGAGAAGAGAAAACAGAGAAAGGAAGAGAAACGAAGAGCGTGGTTGAGGGATTGAATATACCACAATTTTTTGCATGTATTAGCGTTGCATTGGGGTTACATAGGGATCAAATCCGGGAGTTCTTGGATGAATTTGAGTGGAAGGGGTCTCGGAAACAGACTTCAAAGCCAAGGAAGGCACAAATTAAAAACATATTAATCTTTATGTTCCACATATCTTCTTGTTTCCTTTTAAAAGACAATTGGAACGGCTACCGAACTACGGAGACTTACCCTTCGAATACTCCGAGTCCAGCAATCAGATTTTCCGATTGTATATTTCCAGGAGTTGCATGCATGAATTTCGGAATTTTGCCTTATTCGCTGACATTGTATTTTTACGGTCTCGAATCATCATGTTTTTGTTCAAATGCACCGCTGTGAATGAAACAGTCAACACCAACCCTTTAAATGGGCAACAGACTACCATTATATTTCACTTTCTGCCATACAATATCTATTTGGTTTACAATTGTTCTTAAATCTTCCAACTCTACTGCCAATTTCAGACTTCACGAGACAAAAATCTTCATCATGCGGCTGGCTTCGTTGTCAAATTATCAATCCATTAGCCTGCACTCGGTCTCATGTTGATTCGTCGAATGCTGCCCTGGAATAAAAAATCATCATACCATTCATGAGCTACCCCACCCCCACGAAGAAACGTCTCAAGTCTGTAATCAGACGCCACGGCCTTATCCAGGCAGTCTTCCGATAGTCCTTGATCGATATTTGATGGCGACTTTTATGCAAGTGATAAAGGGCGTCCTTACCATAAGTGTTTAAACTTTGCGGATCTTGCAACAATGCCAGGGATGATCTTTCGGCAAGTTTTCCGTATGACGTTTTCTCCAATGGATTTTTGTCGAGCTATCGGTAGACACAAAAATAAATGCTATTTTCGGTTATTTTTGTCGTCGCGTTGAATGCGGAAATCAACTGGCAATGTCGCAGTTGAAAAGATAAGGTAGTGTATCATTGCTTATGCACAATAAAAAAAATGGACGAGCAAGCTAGATAAGAAGTTGTTCTAGTCGGCTTACTGCATACTGCGGGGTGTAGAATGAACAAAATGGCCCCTTGGCGGAGTATCCCTCCTTAGTCATGAAACTCCTTTTTTCCCCGGAGTCGCTCTTTCAGAGACGAAGATCGACCGATTGGTGATAATAGTTGAATATTTGCCAGATTCCTCGTAGTTGAGTGGCCTCCCCCTATCGACCCTTGCCTTCATGTGCTAGTGATATGTCTGCAAGTCTTCGAACCATTTGAGGAATCTCAGAATAAAAATCCAGATCTCTTTTGTAGAGATTTTTTCCCCTGTCCGCGACTCCACTTGTTGATATCATCAAGGGTGCGGGAAATCATTGGATAAAAAAACGTTGGATAACTTTGCATTTCATATGAAAAATTGGGAAGATGTCGTTTACTATATATGTTCCGTAGTACTCCTCTTTTCTCCATAAATTTAAACATTGCACCATTCTTCTCCCAACTTCGTCATCGCCTCACAGCGCTTTCACATTAAGCATGTCAATTGCAACCAATGGAATGATTCAGAAGTCGAGGAATGATGAATCTACACCTCTTCTTTTGGATGCGAAAACCCCAAAAGTCACGAGTTACAATAAATCTTCCATTCACAGCGATGAGGAATCCACAATATGCACGATACCTCCTGCTGATTTATCGCCGGAAGGCTCGCGTAATATAGCAGGCGTCATTTCGATTCTTCTTTTAGGTAGGTGCAATTGTTTGGACTTCTTTTTTAGAGGCTCTGCAAGCCAGAGATTACTCTCTATCTATTTTCCTTTCTCAATATCAATACAACCAATCTTACAAACCCCTAGGTGTCTTTATAGCAAATGCAGACGGATCATTAGTTCTTGCCACGAGTGGAACCATCAGTAGCGAGTTCAATGATTTGGGAAATGCAGGATGGTTAATCTCGTCGTATATGCTGGCTATGTGCGCCACTCAGTCTCTGGTGTGTTGTCTAAGCTTGCTTTCAAGATATAAGATTACCTTCTAATTAGCGGCTAGTATGGGAAATTAAGTGATATCTATGGGAGGAAGAGTACGATATTGGCTTCTTATGTGTTTTTTGCTTTGGGCTGTGCTATTTGGTAGGTTCTTCCTTTGTGAAAAGATCTCGATTTTTATGGGTGTTTGGTGAGGGGGTGAATTGTTAGAGGCTTATTGCCGGTCGTTATTGCTAGCGCAAAATTATACGATTTGGTGGGGCATTACGGAAACAGTTAATGGACTTGATGTTTCTCACTCAAGAGTGTGTCTGATTAATTACTCGCAATAAGCTAACACATCTCTCAGTGGATTGGGATGGAATCTCCCGGTAGTGGTAATAGGTCGACTAGTCGCAGGCGTTGGTGGCGCTGGTATCAATTGTCTAGTTTCGATTGTCATCGCAGGTTTGTTCCTCAACCCTTATTTTCAACAAAGCTAATTTCATATCCACAAGATATGGTTCCAATTAGAGAAGTCGCTAAATGGAGAAGCTATGTCAATATTGCGGCTACAACTGGAAGATCATTGGGGGGTCCAATTGGAGGGTTCTTGACCGATACTATTGGGTGGCGATGGTCAGTACCTGATGCGTATGCAGTACTATACTGTCTAATATCTTTTTGTTCAGGTCATTCTTAGCACAATGTCCACCTACCATCTTGGCTTTGATACTAGTAATCTGGAAGCTGGATATCACACCGCAACAAATCTGCGGCAAACAATCGCACTTCTCGAAATTACGGCGTATCGATTTTCTAGGCTCGATCTTCCTTTCGGTCTCAATCGTTTGCGGACTTATGGTCCTTGATCTCGGTGGTCATCGAATGCCTTGGACTGATCTTAAACTGCTATCACTATTAGGCATCTCAGTTGCAGCTGGAATTCTATTCTTTCTTGTAGAAGGGTTTTGGGTTAAAGAGCCTATTTTCCCCTTGAGATTATTGCGGAATAGAGATGTGCTTACGAGTTACATCAATTTGGGGTTTCAATCGGGTGCTCAGATGGCGGTATGTGCTTTCTTGACTAAGTATTCGTTTAATTCTAGCTACTAATGAATGGTTAGATGATGATGCTAGTTCCGATCTATTTTCAAATAACAGATCATGCTTCTTTCACAACGGCTGGTGTGCATCTCATGCCTTCTGTAATTGGAAATGCAGTAGGAGGTCTTCTAGCTGGATATATTATTCACAAGTACTTCTTCCCGTCTTCTCCCTTTTCTTAGAACTGTTCCCTAATAGCCCCTAGAACCGGACACTACAAGCCCATCCTCCTCCTCGGTGCTTTCTCTTCTCTAACATCCTACACTCTCCTCCTCCTCCGCTGGCACGGCCATACTTCTTTCCTCGAATCCCTCTACATCATTCCCGGAGGTTTTGGTAATGGAATTGCACTTTCAGCATCATTTATAGGACTCACAGCAGGAGTAGAACAAGAAGAGTTAGCAATTGCCACGAGTGGACTTTTTCTAAGCGCAAATGTAGGTTGTGTGGTTGGCGTTAGTGCGGCGGGGAGCATTATGCAAGCGGGGCTTGAAAAGGGTCTCAGGGTTGCGCTTGAGGGGTGGGAGGGGAGTCAGAAGGTATGTAGATTTTTCCTTCCACAATTTTTTTTTTTTTGACTTCATACTTTGAAGTGACTAAATCACATCATCTCTTCGCTTCAGATCATCGAACAAGCACTCTCAGATATCGAATACGTACGGAATCTTGATGGAAAATTGGGAGAATTGGTAAAGAATGTTTATGTGAATTGCTTGTCTTATACTCATGGTATGTAGTGTAATTTTCTTCTGTGGTGTTTGATATTAGTGGATTGTGGCTAATGGGGATGAATTAATAAATAGCTGTTTCTGTTTTTGCGGCGCTTGTGGCGTTGATTGCGGCGTGTTGTGTGAGACAGCATCGTCTTTGAGGATTTCGAGGGGGAGCGGCGTAGGGCGGGGAGCGGAGGAGGAGGGTAGAAGAAAAGCGAAGGTGGGAGGTAACAAGTGTGTGGAGATTATATATTGAAGAACGAGAATAATGGAAACTCACGGGATAATTCATAACTACCAATTTTACACTCATTTAGTTGTATTTTGGTTTCAAGATGTCGTGATGCATGGTCATATGACAGAATTTCGAAAGTCGCGCTTTCAGGGTAAAACAAAATCATCTCAAGAACATCATTCATTCAGAACATTAAGATCTGCAATATTTTAATTTCTACAATATTTGCCTAGTTACGAGCATTGCATTCGGATGTCCAAGACCCGTCGCGTGCTAGAACGTAAAGCTATTGGTAGCGAACCCATATAATCCCATCGGACGCTGTCTCCGGGAAGGGGCTTGGAGGGATTGATGGGGAGATGAGATGGGCGTGAATTGTGTTTTCGATTGTGGGGGGAAAGGCGAAGGAGGGAAAACAGTGTATGATTGAAATATGCGAAGTGCCAGAGGTTCTTGCTTTTAGTTGTATATCAGGAAGTCAGCAGAAGTCTCGTTTGAGACAAGCACAGTTATGCACTTGACGCATTGATTTAATGGAGCTAAGCAGTATGCGATCTAAATACAAGTAGCTCAAAATAAAAAAGCGATCGCCATTACTCATGACTCAAAATTATCATTAAACGGGTATATAAACCAGATAACAACACGACAAAGGGTATCAGAAATGAATTCTAGTTAACAAAACCTCAAAGTCTAACATCGCTGAACGGTCCAAATCAAATCAAATGCAGTATAGATGAGGAAAAGAACGACCCATAACAATCTACCACCGCCTATATTCATAAACGGACTCGGAACGCGAACGAACTTGAGGAAAGCGGACTTCTCTAGAACCTGGCTGTTTCACTCGAATCCTTGGTTGTCTAATCTCCCACACTTCTTGACATGGCACTTCGGGAGCTAAAGGAGGTAAAAAGTATGGCTCCCTCTCTTCTAGCTCTCGCCGTGTGGGACGTCGTCTTGGATATTCGTCCCAACGGTCGACTTGTGCAGGATAAGGCAGGATGTGTACTTCTTCTGAGATAGGTGCAGGTGCTGAAGCCTTTTCTTTCTCTTGTGTCGGCTCATGACTCTTCGTCCCCCCGACCGTAATACCCTCTTTCTTCCCATCCTTCTCCATTTGTAATTGTATTTCCAAATGTGCCTTCTCGTACTCCTTCTCCATCATTCTTCTCTTATGTATGTGATGATGCCATTCATGTCGTACCTCTAACCCCGCAAGAATTAATGGGGCACTCCAGAGAACAAGCTTGCCGAGCTTTTTAACTGGATTCTCGAGTTTCTCGACAGTTTTGTAGACGCGCTTCCCTACTCCGACTACCTCCTCTTCAACATCTTTCTTGAATCTATCTTCTCTATCTCGCGTGTGATGTCGATGTGATCGAGAGTTCCTTGACATTTTGTGCGAATGTTTCCGATTGCCTGATGAGCGTGAGGAATGGGAAGAGCTGGTGGAGGATTCTCGAGACAAGGTTGATTTTCTGTAGTTCGGAGGCATTCGCAGAGCTTTGGGTTCCAGAGCGCACACTGCTGCTTCGTTTTTCAAGTATACAACGAGGAGCACAACGGTATCAGAGAATAATGAGTCAAGTCTGTATAGTTAATCTCGAGTGGTGATCCTGTAGCAATAGAGTTTTGCAAAGCAAGCCCTTCCACTTATGGAAAAGATCAGGCTGCTATATATTGTCATCTTAACATCTGCGTCAACTTGAGGCAGTGATGTTCAGCAGTTGGAGTCATGTGTAATCCATGACCAGCTGACCTACCCTATGAGTCTTTTGTCTCGACACATATACGTTGCGAGACTATATTTCGGGAAAAGATGACTCTTATTCATCATGATGCGCAATCAAATGATATTGAGGGAAGAGAAGTGTTGGACATTTCATAAGATGCGGAAAGTTCATAGAAGATAAGGACCAGAAGCGCGACGCGCTGCTAGCTCATATATTCACGTGCGCTTATATAAGCGAGATATTAACCCGTAGTCTCCGAGGTCCCCCATCGCATTCGCCAGTCACAAAACAAGCAATATTGCTCAAAATAAGCAACTTCTGTGATTTGTCGAACAGTGTCGTATTACATATGCAAGGATTTCTAGTGGAATCTTTTCGGGCATGCTATTCAATCTTGAGCAAGTGTATCTTCAGAGAAGCACCTTTCACGTGGTTATTCTCATGAAATTAGTCAGTTGATTATCTTGTCATCTGATTTAACCCATGTTTCGAAGCTCTATGAAGTGTTAACTGTGTTCTGAGTTTGAACCCGGCTAAAAGTAGTACCTAGTATCTATTAACGAGGATACTTCCATATCTTATCTGTTTTTTCTGATATTCGTTTACTGTTTTCTGGCCCATCGACAGGCCCTGGCACTACGTCACGTTTGTGATCTCTGTTGACTAGCACCATGTAACTTACTGTGAATGCAACATGTAGACTTGCTAGAGCTATGAGCTTTAGACGTTCGATGTAGTCTTTTACTTGCTTGAACGAGACACTTCCTTCAGCGATGCGATACGTATTAAACATCTACTCCTCGTAAAACAACATTCGTCTTTCATTGGATTTAGATAAGACATTCAAAACTATCCTTGTAGAGAACACCTAAAACTTCTCTATTGATTCGCCTGAACAAAATAAAGGGCTTTCCTCCGACGCGTCAGAAGCCCAATAATGAATTGCCGTCTAAATCTAGGGTAGGATTAGGGCACCTGGAAGTGACGTCTACCTACCCCGCTCTCAGCATACGTGGATACTTGATTTTTGTTGCCTTTGCCGCAATAGTGGCGCCTAACAGTTTAAGACACAAGGCTCTGCACATTTCCCCGCATATGGAATTGAAACTTGGTCAACGTCGAGCAGACAACAACAGCACTGAGCTCAACCATCCCAAACACTCTTAACTCTTAGACATTGAAACTCACGTCATGTCTCAATACAGCTATTTCACAGACCCACTGGATTCTGACAGTATTCGCTTGCTCGGTTTAATGCCAGATGAAGACCTGACCTCTCCAATACATTGCCGACTTCATGATTATTCTCTTCGAGAATCGGACAGGGGGATCCATCTCTATGAAGCTTTATCCTATGTATGGGGTAGCCTGGAGAACCCTAAGGTTGTCTATATAGACAATCGTTCTCTATCTATCACAGCAAATCTTCATAGAGCACTGCTACATCTTCGAGATCCCACCTTTGAAAGAATCATATGGGTGGATTCTATTTGTATCAATCAAGAAGATGACACAGAAAAGAGTCACCAGATTCAATTAATGGCAAAGATCTTTGGTCAAGCGAATCGCGTAATTGTTTACCTTGGTGATGAAGCAGATGATAGCAATCAAGCGCTCGAAAGTATACGTATAGCTGCAGAAGATGACTCTCCGACTTTGATAACCAATGAAGTAAACCAGGCGGGAATCTTTGAACTGCTTAAACGACCTTGGTTTCAACGTATCTGGGCAAGTCAATTTACCATCGATGATATCCAAGAAGAATATTAACAAGATTCGATGCAGATTCTTCAGGAGGTTGGCTTCGCTCAACAAATCCTGATAATGTGTGGGTCTGCAACAATAGACGGTTATACTTTCAGCATCGGCTTCAGCAAGCTTTTCTATAACCATCAATCAGACTTGCCAAATCTTATTCGTCCAGTGATTTACCTAATAAGAGGAGCAATATTCCGACCAAAACATGCAATTCGGTCATCAGGTGCACTTTCTCTAGGCGCATTGGTAGATATGTATCATACCCGCAAGGCCACTAAACGTCACGACAAGGTGTATGCCTTACTCAACATGAGTTCCGATAGTTATGATCTAGCCGGATTGTTGCCTGACTATAAAGTTACATGGGTAACGCTCTTGGAGCGACTTGTTAAATTTACAATCTCCCAAGATATATCTATAAAGACTTGGGAGGGCAAGGAGATAGCACTAATTGAGAGCAAGGGCTATGTACTTGGCCATGTACACTCAATAAATATTGACAGTACCAGGCACGAGAGACAGTGTGTTAATATCAAATTTAACAATCAGCCAAGTATCAACAACGAAAAGTACCACACTCGTTGGATTCTCCAGGCTTCGGCGAAATCTATCCAGCAAGGCGATCTCGTTTGTCTTTTAAAAGGGGCTCCAAAACCAACCATCATTAGAGCATACAAGGATTATTTTGTTATCATTGTAATTGCGGTTGCTTTGCAAAACAAAATGCAAAAAAAAGGCGGATGTTTTGAGTCCACACATCCCTTGCCTTCGATGAAGAACTTCTCGCGTGATTTTCTACTTATCTGGGACTGGGAGCAAAGCCCAGAGAATTTGCAATGCCAAGCAGAATATGAGGGTACAATTGAGAGCTATTACTCGGTACCGGAGTATCTAAAGACAGATAAAAACAGAGTAGCCAATTCAATTAATGTAGTACTAGCCTTGGCAGATGCGAGAAACTACGAAAACGAAGAGGATGTGCTTGAAAGACAGATAAAGCACTACGAAGGAATGCTTGGAGGAGAAGATTTACATGTATTAGCATTAAAAGAAAGTCTTGCATGGATTTATTATCAGAAAGATGACAGGATGAAAGCAAAGGAGTCCTTTTTGCAGCTAATACAGGCAAGAAATGTTTTGCAGGGTAAATATCATCAAGATACATTGAGAAGTGTGGCAAAGCTAGGATTGGTCTATATGGAAGGAATCAACTGTGATTTGAATGAGAGAGATGTGACAAGAATTTCGAACCGGATTGAAAGCAATATTCAAATGAGTGAGGAGGATATGATACAACTTGGAAGGTTATCTAATCATGAAATGATGGAACTTCTGTTGGAACAGAAAAAGGACAATGTTAAAGTTACAGAAGAGGTGGTAACAGCTGTAGCGAGGAATTGGATCGATGGGTATCAGATTTTGAAGCTTTTATTTGAGAAACGAGATGAAGAAATAACGATTACTGAAAAGGTATTGACAGCTGCAGTGGGGAATTGGGATCATGGGTATCGGATCTTGGAGCTTTTGTTTGAGAAGCGAGATGAAGAAATAACGATTACTGAGAAGGTATTAACAGCTACAGCAGGAAATCCGGATAATGGGTATCAGATCATGAAGCTTTTATTTGAGAAACGAGGTGAAGAGATAAAAATTACTGAAGCGATGGTTAAAACAGCAACAAGGATTTCAGCAGCAAGGAAATCGGACAATGGGTATCAGATTTTGAGGCTTTTATTTGAGAAACGAAGTGAAGAGATGTCATTCATTCAAGAGATATTAGAGATTGCAGCGGAGATCCGTTATTATGGAAAAGAGATTATAATGCTTTTGCTTGAGAAACAAAGGGAGAAAGTAGTCATTACTGAGGAAGTAGTGGGAGCTACAGGGAGAAGTTATGGTAATGGGAAGGAAATTATGATGCTTCTACTTGAGGAGCGAGGAGAAGCAACGGTTCCTGAAAAGGCAGTGATGCTGATTGCTAGACATTTCCAAGTGAAATTCATGGCACTTCTGCTTGAGAAACAAAGTGAAAAACTAATTATTACTGAAGAGATTCTGAAGGCCGCAGTAGGAAATTATCATTACGGACAGGAGATTACAATGCTTTTATTGGAGAAGAGAGGGAATGAAGTGATAATTACTGAAGAGGTATTAGAAGTTGCAGAAAGGCGTTCTCATTTGAAAGATGAAGTGATGGAGTTATTATTGAAGCACAGGCAACTAATGTCATGATTCCAGAGGAGATGATCCAGACCGCCACTAAAGATGAGTGATTGCCTGTACATAGGTGGATGGCCTCGAGTCACTTAGCTTACTACAATAAAATATGCAAGAGCGCTAGGCTCGTATTAATGCTATAAAAATTGCTTACTCTTGTATATAGCTTAGCTCTCTGGACAGAATACAATATTGACAAACGACAAACTTCCAACTACCGACACCCACAGCGATTACATGAACTGTATAGCAATATTCAGCTTTTGCAGCTTCATTTAGATTATTGGGCAGAATGCAAAATTTAAACAGAGCTGCTCGTTATATGCATCTCTGCTATATTTACTATCCCGCAATTATCTCATCAGCAATTCGATCTATTCTTTGAAGTTCTATCAGCTGTATCAGACATTTGGATTGGATCAAAACGAGATCTCTTATCCATCCCCCGAGAGATTTCTATTTTCCATTTGGGCTTTCTTCTAATCTCTTTTACTATTTTTCGAGTTATGAGTAGACTTTAACGATTTTGTTGTGACGTCGCGGTCTAGATCTAGATGTGGTCCTCAATAGCCGGTTTGAAGTCTACTCATATATAAACTTGATTTAATTTGCGACTGTCTCTTTAAAGGTGTACACGCTTAATTTGCTCTATTAGAATTGCATTGATGACAGTTTTTTCAAAATAGCATGAAAGAATTCTGAGTGTTTCGAGAGACCTAAAAGTTCGGATCGGGTATGTTGACGCTTATGGAACTAGTGACGAGTAGTATACTGAACCTTATTTGAAGAGTCCGTGCCATCTGCAACCCTAAAATGTAGAAGATGAAAGTTGAGGAATGTACGCATTATACAGAGATCAGCTTAATCTACGTCATAGGACTGAGTTATATGACAATGTTTGATCGTGATTTGTAGATTGCAGTGTGTAATATCAACGAAAATTAAACTCGTTTAAACTGGAAAATGAAAAAGATAAAAATAATCTGTCGTAAGCGTGTATATGTATTGCGATGCTCATAAAATTCTGCCCTCTGAAAATTTGTCTTCGTGTATGTTCTATGTAATTTATCTTATGCCTCGCTCATATTGATAGAAGTTTCCTCGTTACCACATCTTCCTCCAATTACTCTTCGAACTGCACCTAAGCCTCTTCGAGGGTTTTCTCTCGGACTAGAGCTGGAAGTCTTGGACTGTTCAGGCGCCACTGTCGTCGCATGTCTTGACATATCACTTTCTAAGCCATCGGAATAACTATTCCCCTGAAATGTTGGCTCTTTGCTTTTTCTCCTTTTCCGCCAGCCCGAGAGAAGCTCGGTCGCTCCATTAACAAAGAAAACTAGACCAATCAACGAAACAGAGACTGCGATGGTGATACCGACCAAAGACCATTAGCAAACTATATGAACTGATAATAGTCCTGCATCTTTCTGTCGAAGTTTTAATAAATAATTGATCTAATCATTTTAAACTCAGTTAGGAGACGCTACACACTCGTTAAAAGGGCCAAGATCTTTATCAATAGATAAAGATAATTAGATGTAAGTTAGTCTAATATGAACATCAACTAGTTCAATCATAAAGGGCAAAAAATGAGAGAGAAGGCTGGAAGGATAGGAGAGTGAGTAAGTAGTAATATAGTAAAGTATAAGAGACTTAGGGGAGACGGGTAGGAATTTGAAAGAGGAAAAATAGAGAAGTATAAAAGATGAATACTAATATACATTAGGAGAGCAATAGAGTAGAAGTAGTACTGATAGATTTTGGAAAGCTGGTTAAGAACCGAAATATTAAATTCGCATTGAAATGTAGCAATAGAATTGTTAGATATTAATAATATCTAAATATATCATTTTCATATTTTAGAGTGATTTCAATCAGGTTTTATAGATTCTATCTATCCACCTATTTTTGTATCCACGCAAAATCACATTAGATCATCTTTTGAGGCAGTCTAGCCATCCATCTAATCCGCCACCAATGTCTCAAACCCAAAACAATTTACCACTCCAATTGACCTCCCTCATAACTCCAAAGTTTTCCCCCATGACTCTCCTTCGTACTCTTCGTGATAAGCGGCACCATCAGGGCACATGAATCTTCGACTGAAACGGCTGCTTGATCCATTCCAAAATAGACGGCACCCGCGTTACCGAGCTCGGTTTGGCACCAGCCGGGATCGAGAACGAAGGCGTTCAAGGGGGGGTTCTCGAAGTTCATGCGTTTGGTGAGCCAGTGTATGGCGGCTTTGGAGGTGCCATAAGCGCCGTTCGGAATGGGGAGTTGGTTCTAGGTGGGAATTAGTGGGTGTTTTAAGTGGTTTGGGTGGGAAGGGGAGATGGGGGAAAGGGAGTTGAAAATGAAAAGTGGAAAGTGGAGTGATGGGACAGAGAGGGGGAGACAAGTGAAGAACGTGTTGCGAAGAGAGAAATCTCATCAAAGATTAGAATCAAACCTCAAGAAATACTCACAGTAATCATCCCCGCTGTACTCCCAATGGTAACCCATTTTGGACCCGTACTCTTCAACAATACTGGCAAAGTCGCCTGATACAATCTCACAGCTCCATAAACATTTGGAATGAAATGACCTTCTAGATCTTCAATCTTTAGATCGATAACGGTGGGCCACGCGTAAGATACACCGGCGTTGGCGATGACGAGGTCTAGGTGGTTTATTCCGAGGGAGGGGAGCGTGTCGATGGCGGTTTGCGCGGAGGTGGGGGAGGATCCGTCGATTTTGATGACGACTGGGGGTGGAGATGGGGTTAGCTGATGTGGGGGAGGGGAATCATGAGATCTTAATCTATTATGGAGTGAAAAAGAGCCTATGGTTGAATTCACAGAATACCAAAGTAGAATTTTGCCATCGCGGTGAAGGGTGATCCAATTCGGGAATCATGAAATCAGAAAAGAAAAGAATAAAAGAGAGTTATGCTCACCGAGCTTCGAATTAGCACCAGTAGGCAGCTCTGAGAGAGCTTTCGATGTTGGATGCGAAGGGTCCCGATTGGCGGCAATGACGATGTGATCGGGTTTGCTGATGTATTGGGCTAGGAGACCTTTTCCTGTTGGGTGAGAGTGTTGTCAGAAGTACGTCTATTTTGTTATATCGAGTTTGGGTTGGAGAATGAATAATAGGTGAAGCAGGAAAGTACTGTACCTAAACCTCTGTTGGCACCACTAATAAGAACGATTGTTGGAGCCATGATGAATTTGCTATAGATCAATCAATGAAACCAATTAACTAAGAATTGAAATGTGCGAAAATATAAGTATAGACTGTTAATCACAAGTTATCGAAGTAGACAAGAGTTTGAAAAGTATGGATCAGTAATCTTTAAATGAAAAAATACCTACACAGATATGTTCCTCCTGAAAGGTCTGTTGGACCAACAACTACGTTTTCCAAGGTTACTTGCATTACAATCTGTATTTCCAATCATGAAAATTACAAACTTACAAATCAACATCAATATTGTGCTTGATAATCAGAATCAAACGATAAGGAACTGAAGAGGTGTTGGAATAATACGGGCAAATGAAGTGTTTCAATAGTAAGATACTTGCAGGGGTGATAAGCAACATACAGATAGATTTGCTTTGCCGGATCATACCATTTGATAGGATATTGTTGGTTTGATAGTGTGGATTTCAATTGGCCTCTGAGGGTTGAAGGAGAGCTGAAGCGTATATACATATCCCCTGCTATAAATCCTGCTATCTAACTAGAGGGCTAAGCAATGAGCTCGGTCGTTTAGGGGTGAGTGCTTACTTTGAATGGGATGCGGGTTGCTTATCTGTGTCCCCGGACCGCCTACCGTGACGGTGTAGTGGGGTTGGGATTTACTAGGTACGGGTACTTATTCATTTATTGTACAACTTAAGAGGTTTATGAAATATACAAGACATATTGAGAGGCACTCCCCCTAGAAGAAGTTAATATTGAATAAGACTTTGAGATTTTCTTGCCAGGGTAGAATTGTTGGTGAATTGTTTTGGAGTTTCTAAGTGATTGAAATCGTTTGAAGATGACTATCTAGGCATTAGACATTAGACTCAGGTGAGGGAATATATGGCGTGATTCTTGAGTTTCCAATTATGAAGGGTTATCAATCAGATGTTTTCACGGGTAGTTAGCGAAAAGTTGCAGGCAGACTGTGTAAACTTAAACTTAAACATACTGCAATATGTATCTAATTCATTCGTCATCGTTTGAACAAGGCTCAAATCTCTATACAAACATCTCATTTTCATATCAATCAATGTATATCAGACATCAAAACATGTGTATCAATCATGAAATCAAAGTTCCATTTCTGTAACCACAAAGATTCTATAGAAAAATCCCAACCAACAAAAGAAACCGAAACTCAACCACTTTTCGTGAGCGGAGGCATCTTCACCACAATCTTCTCACATAAAGAAGTGAGGGAACTAGCATTAGTAATATCAAGCGTCGTCAATTCAGCCCCCAATTCCATTCTCACCCAATTTCGGAACTCGACTGCAGACAATGAATCAAGTCCATACACCGACAAAGGCTTCCCTACTTCCATTGGCTGATCTAATCTCAACATCTTCGTGAATTGCATGTTGACAACTTCAACTGCCGCTGCGACCATAGGAACAGCCTCGGCACCAGAACGGTAGAGAAGGAGGAAAACTTGAAGTTCCTTCGAACTATCATCCGCGCTTCCTTTTCCAGAGCCATTGGAATCCGTACTTGCGAAGAGGTGGCCAAATCGAGCATCTCGGATAAGAGGCGAGTCATCTGGAAGAGGCGCCGCAATACCAGTGATGAGCTGGGCGGAACTCGCTTTGTTGATTGGGGAAACTTGTTGAAAGATAGAGTAGCTGAGAATTTTTCGGAGAATTTGCTCGTTGATGCCTGTCCATTGTCTGTCATCGAAATGACTTGTCATTCCGCCTTGCTCGGCTACATATCCGACATCCTGAATCACACCGAGATCTACAGCATTGGCTGGGAGATTAAGAGATTGTCTGTAAGTAGCAAAGGCATCCATGAAGACGTTTCCGGCGGAATAATTGGCTTGTCCTTTTTGTCCGATGACACCAGAAATACTCGAGAGCATGGTGAAAAAATCGAGGGAGGTTTCTTGCTCTAAAGCTACATTGTGTAGATTCCAGGTTCCTTGCACTTTACTCGATACCGTGGTATGGTAATCTTCAATTGTCATGATCTCAAAAGGTTTATCCTATTCAAATCAGTACATTTCAAAGCAATTCTAAGCCGGATTTTACTAACCCTCAGAACCATTGCTCCTTGAATTACACCTCCGATTGGCTTTTTCGCAGCTTTGAAAGCATTTCTCACATCCTCAATACTCGACACGTCACCTTTAGCCTCTTGTATCTCGCATCCGAGAGCCTTGCAATTCAAGACTGTACCCTGAGATTTCTGATCCGAGCACCCACTTCGTGACATGGAGATAATGTGTTTGGCTCCGTTGCGTGCCATATGGATTGCAAGACTTCCGCAGAGACCTTTGAGACCTCCAACTATTAGATAAGAGACGTCGTCTCGGAGACGAAGTTTCTTGGTTGGTGGGCGCACTGGAAGTTCGATAGAGGCGTTTTCTTCCCTTGTTATCACAATCTTTCCGATATGACGTCCGCTACGCATGAATGCAAAGGAAGCTGCGATATCATTGAATGGGAAGGTTGTGATTGGATGAATGGGGCCGATGTGACCGGCTTCCAAAAGATCAAATATCCGCGTCAGAAGTCTAGGTGGATTGTAAGTAACCGTCTACCATAGAAAGAGATGGAAAAAGATAAGGAATCAGAAGAAACTTACTTGGAAATGAGTTGATCAGTAATGTGATTCGTGTACGAGAAATCTACAGCTTTAAACGAACAATTACGGTCGAATGGCTCCATGGAAAGGTAATTGCGAGCGACAATATCCTTTTTACCAATCTCGATCATGCTTCCACCATCAGCACAGATTCTCCATGATGCATCTAATAGTTCGCCTGTGAGTGAATTGATGATGACATCAATTCCTTTGCCATTGGTGACCTCCATGATCTCAGATGCGAATTTTGTATTTCGAGATGAAAACATGTGGTCGCGAGGGATTCCATATTTATCAGATAAGAGCTGTCGCTTCTCTTCGGTCCCAACAGTTACAAAAATCTGATTTTTTCAAATGTTAGTATGAAATTTGAGGATTGATATTTGAGGATAGATGGAATTGATTACCTCTGCACCGATGTATTGACAAAGTTGGATACATGAGAGACCGACACCTCCAGTGGCGGAATGGATCAAGACAGACTAAATTATCAGCTTATTTATCAAGAAATGAGACCAGAAGAACCGGATTGACATACCTGGCCCTCTTGTAGGTTTCCGATATTGAAAAGAGAGTAGATTGAAGTCAAATAAACAAGAGGGATTGTAGCAGCGTCCTATATGATATTAGCTTACTCATGCCGAGTGGTGTTTGGATAGCGTCACTTACCTCGAAAGACATGGAGTTTGGAATGCGATGAACACGTTCAATTGGCACTTGGACTCTGTTGGCAAAGGTACCGTTCTTGAGAATACAGACACGATCTCCAGGCTTGTATTTTTCGACTCCTGGGCCAATTCGTCGGATTATACCAGAGGCTTCGAGACCGAGCAGGTATTCGTTTTCAGGAACAATACCCATGGTTACAGCAACATCCTTTTCGGAAATTAGTATGATAATCAAGTGATAAGATAATGAATCTAGGAAATTGGAAGAAATATACCTTGAAGTTCAAACCTGCAGCAATAATCTCCACCTCCACGTTTCCAGCAGCAACAGGAAGTACTGTTTCAGACATCTCAGAGTAGCACAAACTCTCGAGAGAACCCAAACGCTCAGCTCTTAACATTGCAACAGTTTGAATCTCCTGCAGAGACTTGACAACCGGCTCAGCACCTGAACTTTCCTCATTCCTCGCATCATTGAGTTCTACATCCGGAATAATCCTATTCACAAAAATAATATTTTCGCGTTCCACAAACTCGTTTTCGGCAGTCTTGCTAGCGTTCTCGATATTCAAATGTTTCAACACGCGTGAAATAGCTGAGATGGTAGCAGCGCCTTCACTGGATTCCACATCCAGTGTTGCGAGTTGCAGACTTGGATCTTCGGCACGAATGGTGCGGAATAAGCCGTGAACGAGAGCGTTTTCGGGGGTTGGAATTTTATACTGGGAGCCCTTTGTAACCCAGAGAACCTTGCATCGTTGGGCAATCAGATGTTTGATTGCTTGCCATTGTTCTTCACCTACTTTGTCGAGTAAAGATCCGGAAAGCTCATCTAAGATTAAGACGGTCTTGCCAGACTCAACATCTAATTTGCCGAGAGTGGACTCGGTGATGTTGAAACCAAATTGACCTAACGACGAAATAATGCCGGATGAAATGGTGTTAGAAACATTGAGATGGGCCACAACTACGTCTTGGACAGAATGACCGACGATCGTAGACTCTTTGGAAGCTAGGTATGTCGAAGTGCTAAAGTCAGATGTTAATTCAATCTTCTTCTGCAAGCCCGCTGCAGAAATAAATGAGTCCAAAGCCCCAGGAGTGTTAATGCCGCGATTTATGTCTTCACCCGAAACAGATTCTGTTGGTGAGCCATCTTGAATTCCCTTATGATTAACAATGACAGTATTACTATCCAGGCTATAATCAGAGTGCGCTTGCTCCTGTTCCATCAAAAGAACATGTCCGCCATCAGAAAGAACATCTGGGATCAATGCAGCAACGTCTGCGAGAGTGGACTCGGAAAATTTGTTGGATCGAATGAGGAGGAGATCGACATCAGATGATGCTAGTCTCTGATCTGGGCTATGTAGATCCAAGAAACTGAATTTGACATCTCTCTGGGTCTCATACTTGGATTGCGCGTCGAGTAATGAACCCGCATCAATGGAAGCGTAATGATATTCAGCATATGCAGATCTATCGGTGTCATTATTATCGAGCCAGAAACTGGTACTATCGGCTGAGTCGAGATTTAGTTCCATGACTTTCAAAGTTGGTTTTTTGTGAGCTGCTAAGCTAGCAATTGTGTCGGACTTGGAGTTCTCGTCTTCCCATGGAAGTGTGGCAATGTTGTCCTGGGAGAGGAAAGTAATGTCAGGTTTCCAGATCGAGCGCATAAATGTATGGCCATCTTTGGTGCTCTTTCCAGTATCGAGTTTGTGGTATCGAAGACCTGTAAGTTGAAGCAGCAAAGACCCATCTTCCGGGTTGTACACTGAGCAAGAAGAGAAATAACTCTTGGCTTCTTCTATTCTTCCTCTTCCTGTGTATTCTGAGGTTGCGATCGAGATACCATTTTTAGGACGGGAACTGACTGGAGTAATTACGAGATTGTCTATCACAGCGGGAACTAAGACCCCATTGATGTCAGTCCTGTCACCTGCCCATAAAGATGGAGTAACTGTTTGGAAACATCCATCAATACTGGCCGGATGCATTGGGTATTCCGACTGGCGTTTCCAAGCGGTTGGCGGCTCTTCAAGTGAGACATACGATCTGCTACGGCGAGAACCAGAAATAGATTCGACTTCGAGTTGTTTTTGAAACGCGGGTCCAAACCCATATCCAATGCTTTCTTGGGACTTGTACCACAAATACCCTTGAGTCGTATGACGGAGTGGACTTAGGTTTGCTTCGGAAGCACCTATTGAGAGTTAGTAAAGCGAAATAAATGGGAGCTAAGAGGAAATCTACTTACGTTGTGACGTTGGCTCTTCAAGACGAATTTGACCATAACAATGCTTCATAGTAGTACCATTATTCAAAGAAGAGACCTCGAAGTTAAACCAGGTACCTTCAGCACCAGGATGAGGTGCGAGTGTAGTCATGACTTGTACCTCAATCTCCTCTTCTAGAACAAGCGCTTTGTCAAAGTTGATATTTCGCAACTTATATTGCAATTGACCAGAAGAAGTAACTTTTTCTTCAAGATCCGTAGCCTGAGTTTCTTGGTAAAGTGCCTCGATAGCCATGGAAATAAAACCTGAAGCAGGAAGAAGAATATCGGGTCCCATTTTATGGTCTCGTAGCCATGGTAGGTCAACAAGTCGGATAATGTTTCTCCAAGATGGCAAGTTCCATGATGTTCCGAATATTTTACTACCCAACAAGTCATGGCGGGTAAATTGACGGAAGCGCCAGTCTTTGCTCGCTTCACTCTCGTGCCAATATTTGACTGAGTGATTCCAGGAATAATTTGGAAGATCCACGACAGTAGATGGGAGAACTGATTTATCGCCACTATCGTCTGAATTGACTGCCTTCAGGTCAACAGATGCACCTGCAATGAAGAGATTACCTGCAACACTGAAAAGGGACTTGATTGACCCAGCTCCTCTAGAGAATGCTGGGCAGTACTGAATACCGGTGCCCTGTCCTGGAAGAGACTTCTTGATTTGAGACACTGGACCAGCAAGTGCACCACTTGGACCAATCTCAATGAGGAAATCAGGACTTTCCCGTCCGTCTGAAAGCATTTCCTTCAAAGCAGCATCAAAAAGAACAGGCGATACCATGTTTTTCTTCCAGTAGCTAGCATCAGCAGCTTGGTTCATTTTCACACCAAGAACTGACGAGAACATTGCTGGCTTGTTGTCGCTTCGGGCAGATTCCGAACTGAAATTTTGCTCGAGGAGCTCAAGATATTTATCTCCAATTTCGGTCATGAATTTAGAATGGTATGCAAGATCGACTTGGAGAAGCCTAGCGAAATGATTGTCTGCCTTCAGACGAGTGCTGAGAGCCTCGAGACTTGGACGCGCTCCTGAAATTGTGACGCTGTTTGGACTGTTGAAACAAGCAATTTGAGCCGTCCCTTCAAATTCCGCGAGATATCTGTTGACTTCTTCGGCGCCGAGTCCGACAGCCAACATTCCTACGACGCTTTCGCTGTCTTTTCTATTGCAGAGAACTGCTGCTCGTCCTCTGTAGAATGCGGCTTTGATGGCATCGGCTCGAGAGATGTAGCCAGCTGTGTAGGCTGCGGCGATTTCTCCAGATGAATGGCCTGCGACGGCTTGAGGTTTAATACCCCAGCTCTCCAATATGGAGACCATGACTAATTGAAGTGCAGTTACCAAAGGCTGTGAGAATTCTGGTTGCCGTAATGCCTCTGCCGTTCGAGGTTCAGAAAGCTCAGCTAGAAAAATCAGATAGTCTACACATTATTCTAGCAGATTGTGGACTTACTGATTAATGACCATGCAGGTGGATCTGGAATACTCTGAAGAACTTCGTCTAGCTCTTTCAATATGATCAATGAGGAGGGAAACGTCTCAATCAAAGCTTTACCCATTTGAGGCCATTGTGCACCTTGGCCTGTAAATACGAAGCCAATACGTGGAGTTTCCGCATCCTTCTTCCCAAACACAAAGTCATTCATCGATAAATCAGTACTGTTGGAAACAATATAAGCTCGATGAAAATGACGACTTCTACGTTCCGACAGGGTATACGCCAAGTCAGTTAATTTTGTCGTCACAGAAGGATTGATCAAGTGTTTACTGATATTTTCACAGTAAGCACGGAGTGAGTTCTCATCGTTAGCTGAGAAAACCAATGTTTGGGCTCTGGCAGACTCTTCGTCAATAAAGTCGTCGCTACCATTGTCTTCCATGGCATATGAAGATACATGGCGTATAGGGGCAAGAGATTTGCCATCCTCTAGCACCGCGTGGAAATTGGTTCCACCATACCCAAAGGAGTTGACACTTGCACGCTTAAGAGCTCCTTTTGGCCATGATATAGCTACTCTCGTAGCTCGAACTTTCAGTGCTTTGAAGTCAATTTTTGGATTGGGGGTTTCAAATGTAGGATTTCCGGGGATAATGCTGTGTTCCATGGCAAGAATGACTTTCAAGAGACCTGAAATACCAGCCGAGGGCTCCGAGTGGCCAATGTTGCTTTTAATCTTTGAATTATTAGCCTCGCTGACTGATGTCTCGTTCTCTGTGAAATCAAAATTATACTTACAGAACCGATTATCAGTGGTTGATCGTCTGAGCGCGTCGCAGCAAAAACAGAAGCAACTCCACCCACTTCAGCTGGATCACCGGCCTAAAAAAAGACTTCTATTAGCAATCAAAGCATTCAATGTACTACCTTAGAGTGTGAATGATCCTAGAAAACCCACCGGCGTTCCTGTTCCATGGCATTCTAAATATGTAGTATCGTTGAAATTTGTGATACCAGCATTCGCATATGCCGCACGAATAGCTTTTGATTGGGCCTCCGCACTTGGACTTGCAATTCCTGGTGTTCGTCCATCACTATTCGTAGCAGTGCCACGGATAACGGCTCGAATTGGGTCGCCATCTTGAATTGCGTCGGCTAATCTCTTTAGAATAATGGTACTAACAGCCTCAGCCTTGATGTAACCATCAGCTTTGGCATCAAAGGTGTGGCACTTTCCAGTGAGAGAGTGTGCATTTCCAATAGCTCCAGCTAGATCGTAAATAGTTAGCCTGTGCTATTTACTACTAGAACACTGGGTGATATATGATGAGAAAAGGAGTAGACTGAAGACCTACTATCCATGACATGCTCTGGGCTGAGATAAAGATTGCTAGTGGCGACGATCGCTCCGTTGATTTCGCCAGATTGTAAATAGCGGCAAGCAACATCGAGCGAAACAAGACTGCCTGAGCAAGCAGTATCTATAGTCATACTAGGTCCTTTGATGTTCAAGTAATGACTTATTCTGTTACTCAAGATTGCTCGCCCTACTCCCACCTCAATGTTTGGTGGTCTGTCCTCAGGGTCGCGGTTCTGAATATCGTGGTAATCTATAATATAGTCAGTAAGGAGATCATCTATTTAAGATTGTAACAGAATAAGCGAGCGCACCTGAGGCAAATGAGCCGACAAAGCAGCCTACAGAGGCTCCATTCAATGACTCAAGAGGAATTCCCGAGTTCTCAAGTCCTTCGTATACTACTTCAAGCATTTGTCGTTGATTGGGGTCCATAGATACAGCCTCGGACTTTGATATCCCAAAGAAAGGGGCATCGAATTCTGCAGGGTCAATATTTTCGAGGAACATCCCTCCTGGGGGACGCATGGTGCCGGGCTTGGTCGATCCATCATAGTGAAATTTAGAGAATCGAGTCTTGGGAATTTCGTTGCTAGCAATACCGCCTTGCTCGAGAAAATCCCAGAGTTCCGTTGGAGAATTACTATTGCCAGGAAGACGACAGGCAAAGCCAATTACCGCAACGGGATTTTGTACATATGCTTTAGAAGGCATGGTTGGATGATTAGTCTTTGTAATCGATAATGAAATCGACACAGAATAGTGAAAGAAAAGACAAGTTGTGACGAGCCTTTTTCACATTAATATTGAAATTTGCTCTGCCACAGAGTTTACCCTATCTCTCACCAGACTGATAAGGATGTTTGCTCCTCATTCCTTTCACATGTCATTGATTATGCGCTTGTTTACATCTTCACGAGAATATGCATATTGCTGACCAGAAATCTTAATACATAGGTCAGAAAGTAGTAGTAATAAACGTAAACTACTTCAATGCTGCTGACAGTAAGCCATTATCAGGTAAGTGAGAGATTACTGGAGCCTCTACTACGTGATATGCAATTTTGGTTGATATCCTATAAATATACTTGGAAAACCAGAAGTACCAAAACCACAGCAATACAGGCTCTTTTTCTTCTTTTTCCTCATATCCTATCATGCCTTCTTTAACAGGAAGTCATCATGAAGATGTCAGTTTCAAAACGGTGGATGGGCTCACTTTGCGAGGGTGGCTTTACCCCGTTGCTGGAAAGGCACCTGCAGTTATAATGTCTCCTGGAGTGATTCATCCCTTGTTTATCATTAATATCAATCAATTATCTAACTTAAATAGTTCAACTGCACCAAAGAAATGCTTCTTCCAGATGTAGCATCACAGTTTCAACTCTCGGGTATCAACGCCTTGATTTATGACCCGCGGAGTGTAGGTCTTTCGGACGGAACTCCTCGCAACGAAATTGACCCAATGAAACAAACTGAAGACTATTCCGATGCCTTGACGTACATGAGCGGTCTTTCGTCAGTGGATTCCTCAAAAATCGCTTTTTGGGGTATGTCATTTGGCGGCACAGTGGCTATGTGCGCTGCTGCCCTCGATAAACGTGCTAAAATGTGCATTGCCGTTTGCCCTCTCATGACTTTCTACACCGACTCTCGATTACGGAGTGTACTCAATAGATGCATGATCGATCGACAATCACAACTTCGCGGAAACCCTCCATTTAGTATAGCTCCCTTCACTGCCAACGGTGTCAATCCTGCCGGCATGGCTGATGGGGGTGGATTAGAAGCTTACGAGTTTATGGTTAATGTCAGAGATAAAGGAGCAGCGAGTTTTGTAAATAAAACAACTATCCAGTCGTATTACAAGATTGCTATGTGGCAGCCACGTAGCATTTTCAAGCTAGTGCAGACGCCAGTCATGATGCTGGTACCGGAACTAGATGTTATCTCGAGTCCTCAAGATCAGATGGCTGCATTTGATGGTTTGAACGGCGCAAAGAGAGCGTATATGGTCAAAGGACAGGGTCATCTGAATGTTCTTAGTGGTGATGAATTTCTCGGACTGATGGAACGACAGGCAGATTTCATTAATGATGTGCTGGAAGGAACATTAGACGATTGTTAAAGTTGTGCGGTTCTGGTTTGGTTTTTTATCGGAGTCTCTAGACCCTAAGTCTGTTAGTTAGAACAATCAGTCCATATATGAATAAGAATCAATGGCTCTAGCATTTGAATATCTGGTATTTGTGGCTGCTAAGATAACCAGAAAAACATCCGATGCTGCGTAAAATTTGAGTAGTCTATGAGTCTTGTAAGCACCTAATTGGTCTGAAATAGTTTTCAATCTACATGCAAAGCTGGAATCTCTGTCTTGGACAAAATATCCTGAAGATACTCTACTCTGTGACATTCGAAGCTCGACAAAGCCTTCCATCGCCGGCAACACTCCATTCATCGCTACCTACCGAGACAACGGCATAGAACAAATCATTTGGATCGTACTTCCTCTTCACCTCCCTCAACATTTCGTAGTTGATTCCAAAATAATCCACTTTCCATGTCTTCAGTCGAAAATCTCCTTCATTTATGTAGGTTCCAGAACCAGGAGTAATGCGCTCCAATTGAGGAACAATTTCATCTGTCATCTCGTATGCCGATGCTATACCTTCTTCTATAGCTGCTCTTGGGTCCCACAGAACCACAATAATGATTGACATGATTGATGTACGCCATGCTGGAAGCACCGCATTTGACTCGGGTTTGTTTCCTACCCGAGAATGGGCAACATTAGATGCTACACAATTCAAAACGAATCGCCCGCCAACCGTAATATTGCGCAGAGTGGCCGTGAAGCCAGAGTTTGTATCTTCCGACTCAACGATAGATCGCGGAATCAGTCGCCCTCCTGTTAGTTCGGAGATTTCGTAGTCGCCATAAGGCAGTCCCGGCGTGTAATGAGTGTAATGATCATAAAACCGAGGAAAACTAGTGTATTCGAATTGATAAATGATGTGAAGCTGATCCAGTTGGGAGATAAATGGTTCTAGTAAAGATTTCAATTCCTCTCCAGTATGGCCTGACCATGTCATCGAGTATATGCTAAATATTTCGTCGGTGAGCATATAAGTAGACTGAATACCTTCATCCACAACCTTGGGAAGGAAAGCATTCCAGAGATCAACAGCTTGCCAAAAAACGTCAATCGAATTTCCAGACGTGGTGAGGGTCAAATTTCCGCCACCCATGAGCCCCTCAGGATGTGCTTTAGTTGTCATCGAAAGAACAACGGCGTAGGTTCCTCCCCCTCCGCCGCTCAATGCCCAGTATAGATCGGAATTTTCGTAAGGTGTGGCTACCAGATGCTCTCCAAGTGCAGTCACAACCTCCCATTCTAAAGTTTGATCTGCTGCTAGACCGTACTCTCCGATTAGAGGCCCATGACCGCCGCCTTGTGTATACCCCCCGACGATACCAACAGTCGGGCACCATCCTGCAAGGACTCGTACTCCAGCCTCATTGGCGGCAGGTAAAATCTCATACGCTTGTCGACCAGCTCCAATCTTTGCAGCCCGTCCAGTATACAACTTGCTTTCGTAGTCCAGGAACTCGAGTTCCTTCAAATTATGGGTCCATATACTCAGAGCACCTGCACCAGAAGAACGACCGACGAAACTAAAACTCGTCAAACCAATTCATATTTTAGGGAACAGCGATCGTTTCAAACTCACTCATGGCCAGTATTCTTGATTATAACTCGGATATTGTTTTTCTCGGCAAACTTAAGGCCTGCTGCAACATCTGCTGCAGAAGAAATGTTGATTGCATATTCCGGAAGATTACCATTCAGGCAGGGCTTCGAACTGTCTGTAAATGGATCACAAGACTGGTTCAAGAAATATGGGTTCATGACCGAAGCAGAGTTTTCAGAGCTATTAACCGTAAACATGTGACTGACACTGAGGTCCTACAAAATGCTTACTGTGGCATAGGCCATGTCCATAGCTCCCGGGCTCTTGTGCACTCAGTCTCATCATAATTAGGCTCATGACAGCTAAAAGCAATAGGTTTTGTAGCGATTAATCTGCCATTGACAGTAGAATTGAGATTATCCCACTCGTTTTGACTTGGCCAAGACGCATCACCGGGCATATGACGACACAAGCTGTCAACTCTCGAGGGTATATAATTTTCGAAGAAGGATGAAAAAGAGATCCCCCAGGAAGCAAGGTACAGTTTAGATTGAGAATACAGCATGTCTTCAAAAAGTTCAATAGGAAAGAAACTGTGCTGATGGAAGTTATCCCAGAACTACCAAACTCACGCCGAATTAATCTGTATTATCACTTCGAACTTGAAATTATTCAACACAATTCTTTTGTCACACATTCAACCGCTAATTACTATCATAGCACGATTAGTCTCATAAAATTGGATACTTGATGTTTCTACCCTTAACTAAAGCTCATTCTACCCCACTTTCTTACCCCGCTGAGCTTATTTTTAACGATTATGCTTATGCTTATTTGTACCCATAGTTAAGCCTAAAGCCACATTTATGCTTATGCTTATGCTTACCCACACGGAGATACTCATCGAGTGCTAGAGTATTCTATCTTGCAGGAAAGTAAGAAAGTTGCAGGAAAGTAAGAAGGTTGCAGGAATGTGAGGAAGCTTGCCGTTGTGTGATCTAGCTTGCGCGAAATCATGCTGCCAAAGTTCAACATCATCAAACTACTCTTGTTCAATAATGAACCTTTAATAAGGTCAATATCAGACCATATTACGTGTAGGATAGAAAACTTTGGTCATTTTTGATATCGATTGAGGCTTCTCTGAACCAAGATGTCCACCAACAGCACCATGGAGTCCTTACCAGACCTCATGAGCCCTAAACTCGGATCTCTAGCAGGCTTCAACTTGCTCAGTAAGGAGTCTGCTATTGTTGCAATTGGCCTTTGGGTTACATATCTTGTTTGTGGTATCATTTATCGATGTAAGTGTACCTATTTTCCACGGTAGATGAATTAATTTTGAACTTTTGATAATACAGTATACTTTTCACCACTGGCATCAATTCCTGGCCCAAAGCTAGCAGCTATGACCACATGGTATGAAGCATATTACGATATCTGGCTTGGAGGTCAGTACGTGTGGAAGATTGAAAAACTGCACAAGAAATATGGTATGTGATTCGAGGATTGGAGGTATTATAACAAATGTCTGAGAACTTTGAACATAGGACCTGTAATCAGAATTAATCCCCATGAGATTCATGTCAGCGACCCAGATTTCATCGATGATATCTACACAGGCACATCCCGAAAAACAGATAAATATAGGTTTACGGGAAGAAGAACACAAAGTTTGTTTGCCCTCCATCTTCCCCGTTTCTTAACTGTGTCACAATCTGTTATAAAACATACTCATTGTGGTGGAAAGCTGCAATGTCAATGGTAGCGACAATTCCGCACGATATTCATAAGCGAAGACGCGGGGCAATGAGCTCTTACTTCTCAAAATCAGGCGTCCGATTGCTCGAGCCGATCATCCAGCGTAGTTTGGAGAAATTGTTGGCCCGGATGGAAAATGCTTCAAAAACCGGGGAGATTATGGAAATGATATATGTATTCAAAGCTGCCACTAACGATATCATTACCGACTACGCCTTTGGCAAACCCTCAGGCTTCATGGACCGGGACGATTATAACGCTGGATTCTTTAAAGATATTGAGAAGATTTTTTTGATATCACACACACTTATGCATGTGGGATGGTTGGGTCCTTTGCTTGAAAGCTTACCGAGGTGGATTACAACCATCCTCGCTCCTGGAATGGCTGGTTTATATGTGATGCAAGATGTAATTCACATCTTCTGGGGCAAGTCTAATGAATAATTGGCTGACGATACTTAGGGATGGTCAAAGCAGATCGAAGATATCAAAAGCTCATCTGATAAAGACGCAGGCAAGAATACAATCTTCCATGGGTTGCTCAATTCAAAACTGCCCGATTCAGAAAAGGAGACTCCAAGGTTGGTACATGAAGCTCAGTTGACGGTATTTGCTGGTCAAGACACTACAGGTGAATTAATTTCTAGAGTGTCGCATCGTCTGTATTTTTTCTAACATTACAAAAGCATCAACAATGGCTGCTACGGTCTTCGAGCTCCTGGCCAATCCAGACAAGCTCATAAAGCTCAAGAAAGAACTCGCGATTGCTATCCCGGACCCCAACATCTTGCCAAGTTATGCGCAAGTCGAGCATCTACCTTATCTATCTGCTGTAATTCAAGAATGTCTCCGCTGCCACCCAGGAGTTATTACTCGAATGGCTCGTGTATCGCCAGAAGTTCCTGTCATATATAATCGAAACGGACTCAAGTATACAATGCCACCAGGAACACCAATGAGCATGACTTCAACCATTATTCATTACGACCCCAAGTACTTTCCCAATCCCAGGAAGTTTGAGCCCGAAAGATGGTTAGAGAATCCTCGATTGGATAAATATCTACTTGCCTTTTCTAGAGGCACAAGGAACTGCCTAGGGTTTGTCACCACATTTTTTCCTCTCAATTTTTGCTTTACTGATAGATTCCAGAATTAATCTTGCTTACCAAGAAATGCATACTTTCATTGCCGGTGTGTTCAGAAAATATGATCTATATGATGGAACTGGAACCCAGAAAGGGCCTACCTTTGAATTGTTTGATACAATTCGTGAAAGAGATGTCGACATGTACGCCGACATGATCGTCCCGTTTCCGGTACCAGGAAGCAGGGGTGTTAGAATTGCTGTTCGTACCGTACACAGTTAGTTGGTGAAATCTTAGAAAAAGAGAGCGTAAATGTTATGTTACTTCAACCCTTTTGACGATTTAAGCTGTTTAAATGAGAAAATTTCTGCTTCGACTAACGCAATATTCAGCGATTTTACTAGAACACATTCATTTGGCTAGAGCTTTCTTTCAGAAGGAAGTGTAATTTGAGCTCAATAAATCAAAACTGTTACCTCCAGCCTGTCTCCATGCTTTCTGAAGCTCAAAATTCATTGTGAAAGTAGAGCTCCACATTCCCAATCTATCTAGCGGCCAATATCGTACTTCTTCCTTAATAGCGAATTCTGTGTCGACTCTAATACTTCTCAGCCTACTAAGAAACTAGTTCCCTTTGACAGGATCTACCAAAAAGTGAGACAATTCACTCATTTTGATATCCTTCCAACTCCAACTCAAAGTCTTGCCTCTAACGCAGCTTTAGTTGCCAAAGCCAACGCCACGCGAGGTGCGGCGAGCATGAATTAACCACGGCAGTGTAAATAATTTTATAGTGAGTTGTAGTCCAGATGCATCTTCTCATTTCGGTTTCTTTTTTGGTGCATATCTATTAGAGAACATGATGACTGCCATTTCATGCTCAATTGTAGTTGATGTTTATTTGCAAGCTAAGAAATTCATCCACCCTACCACCTTGGTTCCCGGTAAAATGGTACAACAATGGTGCGCGAGCGGCGATGCAAATTATCAACGAGAACGCCTAACATTTTGCACGTGAAATTTTAATCAACAATGGCGGCTTCTCCCAAAATGTGAATAGCTTCTGTCTAATCCAATATTGACTCCCCTCTTGTATCGCGAAATCGAAATCAAGGACAAGCCGAGTCAAAATAAGGCGCATCTCAGCGTACGCCAAACTAACAAACATCAGTAAGCTGATTCTCGTAATTGGATTATTGTTTTATCTCAGAACTAAACTTACTTTTTTCCTACACAGTTTCTTCCACCAACACTAAATGGCTGAGAGGCTTGTTTGTCGTCCTTTTCGAATCTCTCATCTCCCAGCCAGCGTTCAGGCACAAAAGCATCCGGATCTACAAAATTGTGTTTTGAATGCGATGCTGCCCATGCCGAAATACCTACTCCCGTCCCTGCTGGAACCGTCTTTCCATTGATGACAGATCCACCGTGTGGGACTATTCGTCCAAGGGCTAAAGAAGCTGGAGGGTAGATTCGTAAGGATTCTTCAAGAACTGCATGGAGATATGGAAGCGTTTGGCAAGATGTCATGGTAACTTCCTCGGCGCTCTTAAATGTGGAACGGACTTCTTCTTGGAGCTTTTTCAGAACTGGTTTGTTGCAAGACAGGTAATAAGTGGCCCCACTGAGAAGTGTAGCTAGCGTTTCACTACCTAAGGAACATTAGAACTGTGCCATAATAAGTTGGATCCAAAGATTTTTTACCAGCGGTGATAAGGAGATTAATTGAACTTTGTAGCTCTGGGTTCGTCATCCCCTTCTCATCATTTGCTCTACATCGATATTGTCAGTATATCGTATGATATTCAAGCTAATTCAAGTGTATACTTACTTGAGAATAGGTGTGATGAAATCTTTTCTATCAGTCTCTTGAGTCAGGCGAATGTTCACTTGGTCAATTGTGAATTCAGCATGTTGTCTTCGTTGACTGAGAAATGGTTTGATCAAAATCAATCCGGTGTCGTATACAATGGTCGGAAAATGTTTGAAGGCCAACAAGTATGTCATCGTTCTTGCGGCACCCGGCAACAAACTAATCCACGGATGTTCTTCGCCGGATTCCAGGCAGTCAAAGGAGTGGCCGAATGTCAAGTCTCCGATAATATCAAAAGTTGTAAAATTAATCCATTTTGCCTGTTTACGCATAAGTCTCTGAGTATAAAAGGACTGATCACTCCTACCAAGTCTACAACCCCCCCCTGAGGGCCATCTAAAGTTTTATGCAGCTGAGAAATCAATAAATTGACGTATTGCTGAAGTATGGGCTCTTGGTCTCGAAGAGCTTTCTCTGAGAATGCATTTGCGAGTAATCGACGGAATCTAGCATGGTCTTGTTCATCCGCATCGACCTAATTGGGATTGTCAACAGTCTGGTTTGAGTTTGATACGGTATTAGAGCAGTCACTTACAATTGAAGGAACTCCATTGTATCGACGAAGATAGACGCTTGGATCTTTGTCGAACCACCTCATACGTTTTTGTGTGCGATGTCCTTCATAAATTAGTCACACATCAAGCAAAAAATTAGAAAAATTGTCTAACCATGAATATCAAACCAGGCCTGAGATTGTGTGAATGATAGTTTGTTCGGGGCAAGTCGCACAGTAGGTCCATACTTTTCATGTGTCCTCTGTGAGGCATGAACAAGCTCTCCAGTGGCAAGCCAATATATATATGGAATGATTGATGCCCGCGCGTACCAAGGGCCAGGATAGACGCGGAGTGGTGAGATGTACATATTGTACACCATCCTACCAATACAAGTCACGACCACCTTGAACACCATGCTTAGCAAATACTTGACAATCCTTGAAGCTATGCCTTACTAATATGACCATGGAATATGACAATGAGACATTCTCCAATTTCCCTCTGACCACCGAATCCATGTTCATGGCAAACAAACAAGTATTTTGATAGGTATTCTTTGAAGCGTAGATTCTATCCACGTCGAAGTGACTGAGCCGCAAGTGGACGAAAAAGCTAATCTGCGCAGGATAATATACAATGCTTTCAAATGAGTGTGCAGATATAATATAAGCACCGAATCCTCACTTAAGAAGGAATAGATGGTCGAATAAATGCGCTTTTCAAATAATGCTTATTTGACATAAGACAAGATTATCCAGATTTATTGAGAATTTTGGTGATCATATCGTAAGGTCAAGAGATGATAGTATCTCTATAATCTCATCAGCTGATACTGCTGTTTTCTATCATAAATTGTAAAGTGGTGGTGAAAAAAGACAATCTTGAGGATCAGATAAACCTAGTTAGGAAGCTTCAGGGGGGGTGTTATCTGACATGGTACACTGACAGCTTCTTTGTATTGTATCGCATTGGTCATGTCTTACGACTTGATATGATCAATCTAAGCAAGTAACACTTCTCATTACTGATTTTGAAAGTGTTCAGAGACAGGAATCACAAAACTTCCATGTAACTTGTCTCCACATCTGATTGATATCGTCTCACATCGAGTCAAGAATGTAAGATTGTAAGCAAAGAAACCTAAAATCTGACAAGAATAATCACTCTGCATAGTACTCGTAGGTTCAAAATCCAGCAATATCTCGGTCTAACCTGTCTTTCGCCTAGGTGAAGTTGTCAGCTCGCCTTTTCTCCTCCACCATGCCACGGGAACCATTAAAAACTTATGGGAGATCATGTCCCGAAACATACTCATAGATATGATGTATAGTAGTATTAGAAGGTGTTTATCAGTAAGATTTAGTTGGGTATTCATGTAGTATACGCCCGATAAAAGAATTTGGAATTGGGCTGACAAAGCTCATCAATCGAGGAAGTCCTCGTCACATATCACGGTGTAATCTTTAAGACAAGTTGCTACTCTTGAGTTGGAGTCTGCGAAATTTTAAGAAATCTCGTGGCTAAGAGTTTACCTAAAGCATCCATCATTACTATACTCGATGGGTAACGTACGCAAGTTGAAGTGTTATTCAATTTTTCCATCTTTAGTTCCAACAGTTCCTGTAATTGCCGCAGCCACCGCATATGCTTAATCTCAGGACTGAAGAAATATCATGCAATCGGATGGGTTCGTGAATTTATCCTCTTTTATTAAAAATATGTAAGTCACGATGAAAGGGATATATTCATAACATACGTATTAGTGGCAATACTACGTACTGATTTGATACTTCGACATTTTCACTACTATCTTTCGTTTGAGCTTAATATTCATCTTACTGAGGCTTAAAGAAAGAATTTGAATAGTATACTAAGAATTGATTTCTGTCTAATACCATTTTTGATTTATGACTTATGTAATATACTTGTAGAAATATTAAAGAAGAAGTTAATACTATGTAAAATGAAATCTCATCGTATATTACTGTTATAGAATCCAATAGGAATTACAAAAAACAAATTCCATTCTTAGAATAAGATTTATAATATAATATATTAGATGAAGATAATTGTATAAAGTTCTTCCCCCCTATTGGACTAGAAAAATTAATCTTTAATCAATTAAAAGTTGTATATCTTATCTATAGTCTAATAGAAGAGGTTTTGTAGATCTATAAATATAAAAATAAACTTCTTATATGGATATACAATTATTTAATATATGTTAATTTTGTTACGGATCGCACTCAATCGCAATACAATCGCTCACATATACATAGCTACGTAATTAAGCATAGCACTTCTTTAAAGTGCCTATTCATATAATCACAAAACACTCTTTTATTATTAATATTAATAAGCTCTATTAACCTAATTAAACAACTCTATTGCTTGATTCAGGTATATAAGGTAGGTATAATCCTTATAATCATATCCTCAAGTTAATCTAGTTTATTATCACTATATATACCTATTTCCTAATCAAGGTAACCAATTGATATAGCTATCCTCCGTGATAATTAATTAACTAAAATAAGAAAGTTAAAGAGAAAAGAAATTCTAAAGGAGTTTCCTTATCTCTTATATAATCACAATTGCTCAGTTCAAGCTAACCTTGAATCAAGGTAACTGTGATAAGTAATTACAATTTTATATAATATTTGTTATAGTTATTCTAAGAACGCGTTTAGATCGATTTTCTTAATTAGTAGACCTAATTAACAGAAAAATATACGCTAAATTAATATAATTAGTTATCAAGTGAATTTAAATTCTAAATATAAATTAGAAGAAGTTGATGTAAATAATTCAAAACTATTTCGAATAACAAATATATAAACTTTACTCTTTTAATTATTAATAGTAGCTTTTTAAAACTAGTTAAAATTATTATTCAGATATTTTGATTACAAATCACAACTACTTCTACAAATATATTGATCTAATAATTTTATTGATTGAATAATAATTAATTATTTGACACATAAACAGAAAATCGATCAGAAAGCACCCTAAGCTACATTAGAGTTCCTATGGGGCTAGATTCGGGCCCGGAGGGGCCCAATCGAGTCTCCCGTGACTGATTTAAATTGTACCGTGACATGCACGTGGTGCACCGGCCATTGCCGGATACAGCCGACAGCACCCGATTTCTTATAAAATTAAATGTGAACACGGCTGTGTCCATGCATTATCATTGAATACAACCTCGAAAGAGATTTGTCATTGTTTTCAGCAAGTTCTCTTATTGCAGGCTGAGTCCAGGCCTTCCAATAGCTCCGGGCTTTTCTATAGTTTTTTGCCCGTATACGGGCTGCAACATGTATATACTTGCCAATGATATGACTTGTATTGTTGAAAGATCCTTATCACTATCCCTGCGGTGATGAATGTCTGCCTTGAGGCCGCGCCTCACCAATCAATTTCACAATTGCAACTCGGGCAGCCGTCATCATGCCACCAATTCCTGACCAAACGGCTCAGAAGAAAACCAAATGCCTGTCACTTTGCGACGTCGCTTATCTTGCTTCTACCCGTTGTAGAAAGTCATGATTTATTATGTTCGCTGGAAAACACGTGATGTGGTCCGTGCTCACAGCATCACCATAAGACTTTTCTTGATGATCTTACTAGATATATAGATTAACCATACAATATACTATATGTGTGAACAAAAGGTTGAATGAATGGCCTGAAGTCATTCAGAGCCTACATCAAAGGAGCTAGTCTCGTAGTAAGGCCTATATAAGGCTTGCTTCTTCATGTAATTGGCTAGCTCGTTAGACAGAATACATATTAACAATGAGAGCCTACATTCTAGGTTCTACGTCATATTTATCCTTCTCAAACAAACACTATATCTTATGTACAACTTGCTCTCTATTTCTGACGCTTTTAAACGTAAAAATAAAATTGATCTTAATTCCATAAATCGTTTTAATAAAAGAGGATTTAAACTAAAAGGAAAAGTAATACTATTATTAATATTATTATTATCAGTTTCAAGAATTAAATTGAATTGATAAAATTATCTTGTAATCAGATTTCAGATCATAATAATTTTGAAGCAAATTTCAAACATAGTTAAAATAGTATTATATATAAAAATAAAAGTATATACATAACAGGGTCGTGTATGTAGCGGGAATATCGGTTATTAAAGCGCAGGGGAATAAATTTCATCAATTGGTCGGTTTACACGGTTCCGGGCAGCTATCTTACTTCTTGATACAGTAGATAAGCAATTTACCAGCACACTGGCTCACTGGTTACAAATGGGAACATCGTAAGACCGACCCACTTCCCGCTGAGAAGAAACTGTAGCTCAACAATTTGATCCCAAGAATACACCTCATTGGAGTTCACTCCATGCGGAATCAGAATGAAACCTTCAAGCATGGATTTATCTTCAGCAGCGAGGCGTCTTTCGATCTGTCCGTTATATGCATGTCAGAAAAAAAGTATTCTTATCATCTTAACTTCTTCATTTGCTAGTAGGGCAGATTGCGACATGGCCGAAGGAATGCCATGGCATGTCTGACGTGCATACATAGTATGGAGATACCCTGCGAGCCTCGGCATAGATGTGAAAGTGAAATCACGGGCCGGTATCCATGCCGTCTTTTAGCGACAATATTCGAACTGAACACACCATTGCGGGCCTTGTTTAGATTGCGAATCATAGGTCCGAGATTGCGACATTGTAAGTTATGATTCAAGGCTGTGATCTGAGTTGCCCGTCGGGGTTATGGTTCGGAGTCATGTATCAAGGTCGTAGTGCAGAGTCGTGTTCACAGCATTGTTCAAGGTAATTTCTCAATGAAGAAATAGCGAGAACATTTCATTCCACCAATCCTCTTCTTTCTCTCATCACCTTCCCTCGAGCATCGGCCAAGCTCGGGGGAAGATTTTGGGAAAATATGGCTTTCTTGTTCCAGGTGCTCCACTTGACCATCTCCCAGAATATGAATTCCTGGTTCAATATCAACGTAGCAATCATTGACAATCAAAGTAAAGGGGGTGAACACGTTGGATTAGACCCTATACGAAGATCATAGAATAGTAGGGATTAAGTCTGCACCCCCACATATCGGACACCCCCACATTTCGGACACTTCAAAAACTGAATTTATATATATTTCAAACTTCAATTATTCAATAATCCTTGAACTTCAATATAATCGTTTGTAGAGTTACTATCTATAGTAATAAAAGATTCATTTCTATCAATTTTATAATCTCTAATTTCAATTTGAGCCTTTTTTATAGCTTTAATCTCTATAAACTTTGAATTTGGAGATATTCAAACTTTATATCTTTTTTTAAAAGCAAATTGATTTAATTGATATTCTAATTTCCTAATCTTATTCTTTATTTCTAAAAGTTTATAATTCTTGATATCGAATCTCTTTATAATCTTATAAAATAAAAATTGTTATGTTACTAAATTCAGGGTTTTATTCTGAATTATTATATCTTTATATTTTTGGATATTAAATACTTTATAAAAAGTTTTCTATAAAATAAAAAATGATTTTATATTTAATTAAATCAGAGGATTATAATTAATCTTAGAATTGAATAATAGAATTTTGTTATTATTATTTTTGAATAAAAATCGATTTATAAAAGATTTAGTTATATTCTTAAATCAAAGATCACTAGCTTTCTATTTAATTATAATATTTTGAAGTGTTAAATCTTTTATTCTAATTTTCTAATAATAGAAAAAAAAGTTTCGCTTTTTAATTAATATAGAATCTAATAATAAATCTAATTGATTAAGTTTCTTTTAATATATATTTTTCAAAAACAAAAACATTAATAAATTAAGTAATTATAGTATATATAATATATATAATAATAGAAATAAGAGATATATTTTATTAATAAAGTATTCTAATATAAATTTTATAGTTTTATAATTTCTGTATTTATTCAAAATAAAGAATCTTCATTCTTTAGAATTGAAGGAAGTATTTTAAGGAATAAACATTTTTTTTAATTATTTTAAAGCTGTACTATTTATAATTCATTCATTTTCTATAGTAATAAATTATTAGTTTTTATATAGAATAAGATTTATAGGAAATTATTATTGTTATACTGATTTTTCTTTATATATAATAAGTAAATTAAGTACTTTTCTAATAACTAAAATATATTTAATAAAAAATATTCAAACTTTTGAATTAAATTACTTTTTCTAAATAAATCTTTGATTAATATTTTCTACTATTAGTTTATTAAATCCCTAACTCTTTATAATCCTTATTTTATTTATATTCTATTTATTTTCTAATTTAATAATTTTGATTTCAAGAATTAAGAGATATTAAAACTACTTTTTAATAATATCAGATATAGTATTAAAGATTTATATAGAATTGACATAATATAATCTTTTGATTCCAATAAAAGGATTCTATTTGAAAAAGCTTTTTATTTATCTTTTTCCAATTAATAAATCCTTTTCTTATATAATAAAAAGATAATTCGCTATATCTTTTATTTATTAATATATTATATTAATATTAAGAGATTCTTATACTAATATCTAATTTGCTAATAGTTCCTCTTAAATCGGAATTATCTTTTATTAACTTTAAGTATTTTCTTGATATAATATATTATTATATATACAATTGTAAGGTATACTACATAGTACACCATAATCCAAGCTAGTTTTTCTAATACTAGCTCCATTTACTATTATTCTAAACACTTCCTAAAGATTATCTTCAAGATAATCATTCTTTATTATATAAATATAATAATTTCAAAATTTCGAATTAATTGATTAAAGAATTGTAGAGTTATTAAAGCTCTAAATATAATAATGACTCAAAGTAGGGTGATTTTTGATATGTCCGAAATGTGGGGGTGTTCGATATATAGGGGTGCAGACTTATTGACCAGTGAAAAACCTTACCAAATTTACCGAATTGAGCAAACCTGTTGCTAAAACTCACTTGCCAGGGTCTAGTCCAAGCTGTCCACCCCCTTTATATTGATTTCGTTCGATTTTGTCGCTCTACAATTAAATATCCCAGTGGATTATCGGGAGCTTGATATTGCTTGTGGAATTTAGCTCTGTACGGTGCTTAGACCCTGAGGGCCAAGCAGGTAGCTTTTTAATTTACAAAATTGATGACGGTCTAGCTGGGTGAATAAAAACGAACTATGAGGACTGATGCCCTTTCGCTATACGCGTTGCGTATTTTAAGCCTGTAAGAAAGGCTTGAAGGTATCAAGAGAGCATCCCTCACTCTCTTCTACTATGTTTTCCTCCCTTTCTTCCTGAATAATAGTTCTTAATGGATGTTATAATTTTCTTACGATCCTAGTAGTATTGATGAGTTCGATAGTCAGTCCTATATTAACTCTTATTTGGAGTATAAATTATATAGTGAGCTTGAAAGTTAAGATCCTTATGAATATTCTCTTTCTTTCTTTCTTACATAAAGAGTAACTAAGGAGAAAATGATATAGTGATTCTATATTTCTATGAATATATTTATTATTAAAGATACGATAATAACTTAATATAGTAAAACTTTATATGAAGGTATCTTAAATGTTAGAGTTTATAATTAATATAGTTTTATCTAGTTTTCTTAATATTCTAGTTTTGTCATTTCATACAATAGTCTTTTTTTAAATCTAAAAACTATTGATTTTAAGAATCTAATGTGTTGATTTTTCTTAAGAAAATCGAAAGAAATTAAGAAGTCGAAAAAGTAAAAACACTACAAAATTCACGAAAAAAATCAAAATTAAATGAATTTCTGTTCTTTTATGAAATAAGATAAAAATTTAATTGTCTTGTAGATTTTTTTACCCTAAGAATATTCCTAGTGATATTCAATATTGAAATATTACTAAATATCTTTAGTAATCTTTAGATCGATATTATTTACGAAAATATTCTCGAATAAATCGATATGTATCACCATACAGATCAATATATGGAATACGGGAAATACTAGCAAGTACACTGAGGTAGATTGTATCAAGGTTGCTTCCTCTACTAGTTTATCTACTAGTTCGTTTCCCTTACCTGAATAGTATCTTAGGACCCAACTTAGGGATATTTCGGCTCCTTTTGCTTGAATAGCTTCAGCTGCTTTGGTTGCTCTTATTTGATATACTTGTCCTGAGTGACCTGAGGGTGTTGTTAGTCGATATAAGCCTGCTTGATTGTCCGTAAAGATCTCAAATTTCTCGTTAATACAAGCAATTGAGCTAGTATGTTCGATAGCTCTAATAAATACACAAAGCTCTCCATTATATACTAGTTGATTATTACTAATATTAAGTTGTTCAAGATATCAGATTCGATCATTTCATTATATTACTACTATACCTATTCTTTGTTCAGTGGAGGAGGTATTAGTATATCATAGGTAGTATATTCGTATCTCTATATTTGAAAAAACAAAAGAATTTATGAATAATTATAGCACCTTCCTTTAAAGCGTTACTGATATCGACTCTGGTAGGGATTTCCTTTTTCCATGGCGGGAAATTGAAGTAAGTCTTTTCCTTCCTCGCTCTCTTCTCCGCAAAAGTTTCGCGTATCTCTCTTCTTCTATAATTTGGTCCATATCACAGGGGATGTAAGCCACAAGGCCCTATAGCCGACCTCTGTATCTAGCCCCTTTAAATACTACCATGTACGAGTAAAGTGGGTATCGAATACATGGATATTTTGTACTTATATCTCACCAGATGGAACTCAACGTTACAATTGATTGACGCCATTTTCGTTCTGAATACTATCAATCAGATTGGTTCGAGATATGAAGAGATGCATTCCTTGATACCTTGCTAAGAACGGTACTTGATCCTTCTGCATAGGTTAAATTTATACCAATAGCAATCGCTACAGGAGAGGACTATCATCAACGCCATCGTGGCCGTGATGCGGCATCTTAGTCAACAATGCAGAAGGTCTATCTCTTGGGATGATAGAATTTGCTTCTCTGGGTATTTCACGGCATCCAGTTTATTTAAGCCATCTATTCCATCTTTTTGTTCTTCAGTTGAGCACCGGAATGATAATCGGAGCGTGGGGTTAACCAGTCTTATCCTTGCTTCTTCGAGTATTCGTCTGACTCCCGGCTGCATATCGTCAGTTTATAATCTTACATCTACGAATACCTAAGTGTGAGGCTCTAGACTCAGCGGTACAGTAAACCGTGAAATCAATGGTTTTTGACCTTCTGAGCTTCCATCCTGTTTAAGCCTCCACCCCACACTTAGTATGATGCAATGGATTCGGCCGAAATCTTGCCTTCAAATCCCTTAGTACGCCGACGAATTCAGAATCGAAATGCGCAGAGGAAATTTCGCAGTATGTATACGAACTCTTGGATAGCTGCGTTTGATCACTTTTAACCCTGTACCCTAGATAAGAAGAACAAGGCTAAAGCCGAAAATCCAAAAACAGAGCAAAGCTGGCCACCAAGCGAGCCGTCTCTACCCGATAGGGAATTTCAAATCGAGGAAGATGCTCTGATGGATCTTATCGATCCTTTCTCCAGTTTCCTTCACGATCAGCTCGTAGAAAGCAACTTTAATGACTGCGATTTGGGACCTACGTCACTTAGTAGCGGATTGGGCTTACCAACATCGTTTTCCACAACACATAGTGACATATCTCATTCTATTGTTACACCCGATCCGATAGATCAAGGGAAGATGATATCTTCCAATAGCCTCTCTCTGTCGCTAAGTACCGCGGCATCCTCAGTTTCCACTCAACAAGCTGACCTGAACACCGATGGATGGGATCTGCACTCGATGTACAAAGCAGGTGAAAAGAGTGCGCCTGGGCTTGGAGAGGAAGGAAGCATGGATTTACTCGAAAGTAACTTCCAGCCCAATGAACCAGGGAAAACAGATAACAAGGTTAACACGCAAAATCCATTCGAAAGCAATGAAAAGCCATTAGTACATCTTGCTGCTGAAAAGGGTCGAGACGGGATTCTCAAAATTCTGTTGAAGCGAGGTTTATACGTGGACGAAATGGATAGTTCGGGTAGAACGGCATTACATTTGGCAGTGATGAATGGCCATGAAGATGTACTTAACTTACTTCTAGCCTGCCGAGCTAGTGTGAACCATAAAGACGCATCGGGGCGGACGCCCTTACATATGGCTATGTTGACAGAAAACGAAGCTGTGGCGAGATCGCTTTTAGGGAATGGTGCTGATGTTAATGCTATCGACGGGCTCAATTGGACGCCACTGCATGTAGCTGTTGATGTTGGGTTTGAGGCCGGATTACGGCTGCTTCTATTACATGGAGCTAATCTCAGTATGAAAGTAGGAGGTAAGCAAGATAGATGAATTTATTTAGATGAATAAATAGAATTAGAGGCATTTACGTTTCGCTGGATCCCACCTGAATGGTTAGACTAGTGATGGCTGCGAACAGACTACTGAGTCCGATCGTGCCATCTGATCAACTAGTTCTGTGTACTCAAGCTGATGGAGCCAGCCAAACACGTTTTTTGTTGGCGAATCGATGCGAAATTCGAGACAGAAGTAGAGGGAGAAAGTAATATGGATATTGCAAACTTCCGCTTACCCCCACGACTGCGGTGAAGTATCGCAGTGTTCTTCCACAAGACAGACTTTTGGCTTACATTCCTGCCAGTTTTGGCTTACACTCCCCTGACATTGTTGCCGGTATTTTAGCTCTTACAATATAGCAACTGCTGCCTTATTTTGAATAAGTCTCACGTTTTGTGGCCCACTTGATTATTGGCGGTGTGCGCCATGGCTCTAGCACGCGGCTAGAACGTGATGCCAGGGATTAAACACTGCCTCCCGGCCTGCTGGTACTAAGGGAACGCGAAAGCGAGGTTTACCCTGATAATGTCGAAGGATCGTGTAGCATGTTCAGCGACCCTGTTTTTGACATTCGGACATCGTATCAATTATGAGCCATCATTTTCATCGTGGAAAGTACGACAAAAGCTGATGATTGATGATAAATATGAAATATCAGCTTCAAGAAGTCCGAGCTCAGAAGAAGGTGAGATGGGTATATAAAGTTCCAGAGATCTGGTGTGAAGTGATTTTATAACCAGTCTTATCTCAAGCATACACTGCGTCGTAAGACAATAAACTCTCGTCTCTCCGCTTTTCATATTTGAAGAATGCATATTACTTCGTTACAACTCGGCATGGCCGTAACGGCTATAGCCTCCTTTCTTCCTACAGCAGCAACTTTAAGATTTCACAATACGACCAGTTGTCGCTATCTTCCAGGAGACTTGGGATGGCCTAGCGAAGATGAATGGTCATCACTCAACAGAACTGTTGATGGTAGACTTATTGTCGGAACACCTGTGGCACAGTCATCTTGCTATGGTGCCGCTACCAATTCTCTGGAGTGTGCCGTGATGCAGTCAACATGGCCGGATCTAGATCCTGTGTGAGTGAAAAATACATTCGTATCTTCCACTACCATTGCAAATTCTTTCTATCTCGGAGGAAATATCAAGACTTCTCGGATGTTCTTCTCTCACTCGCGAGTTACTATTCTTGAAACTTGGAAGAGTGCTTGTGTTGATTGGCTCTAGTGAGCACCAATGCCATCCGCAATCACTAACAAGTCTTTTCATAAGTTACGTCAAGAGTCATCATTCATATAGCCCATGGTTTACACTCCCCTCTTGTTACACAAAGCTAATTTCACATTCAGCCTGGTTAATCCCGTTAATGTTATGTCTCCCTACTGGGTCAACAATTCATGCAGTCCATTCTTAACTGGCGACGGATCATGTTCACTTGGAAACCAAGCTTCATACGCCATAAATGTGTCTTGCGTGTCAGACGTTACCGCTGGAATTAAATTCGCGCGTAAAAAGAACATTCGTCTTTCAATCAAAAACACAGGTCACGATTATCTTGGCCGATCAGCGGGTAAAGGTTCCTTGGCATTATGGACCCACAACCTAAAAGACATGACATTTATGAACTACAGCAGCGCCAACTACACGGGTCCAGCAGCCAAGGTCGGGGCCGGTGTTCAGGTTTCCGAGTTCTACAAGGCGGCGAGTGAACATGGATATCAAGTCGTAGGAGGCTCGTGTCCTACTGTGGGTGTTGCTGGTGGATGGGTACCCGGAGGAGGCCATGGGCCTCTCACTGGTGCGTATGGACTTGGTGCCGATAACGCGCTTGAGTTTGAAGTTGTTACAACAGAGGGTAAACATCTCATCGCTTCGCCCACCCAGAACTTTGATCTTTACTGGGCCCTCAGCGGGGGTGGTCCCGGAAACTATGCAATAGTCATTTCTATTACGATGAAAGCCCATATCGATGTCCCTGTCGTAGGTGCAAAGTTCGATTTTGAGAATACCGATGACGATAATTTCTACGCGGCCATTACAGCATACATGAAGCACTTGCTTGTTCTGGATAATTTTGTTGGGTTCAAGGCCGTGGGAACCTTCACCAACGATCTTTTCAGGATGGATTTTGCCACTTGGCCAGGAGCTACAGTTCAAGATATGAATGCCGCATGGGCACCTTTCTTAAGCGAGCTCAAAACCCTCAATATTTCACTGACATCCAACGACACGAGATTATTCCCTACCTTCTATGAGCACTACGGGTATTTCGGAACCGATGTTTACACCAGGAATGCAACCGCCGGCAGCCACTTTATTCCGCGCTGGCAAGTAGAGGATACTGAGTCTAGTCTTCCCGAACTAGTTGATACCATGAAAAGTATCGCGAAAAACTATTCAGCAGTTCTCAATGTGATTAACTCGAACGTGACACATTTACGTGTTGGCAACACTCCCGAGTCCAACTCTGTTTACCCGGGATGGAGAGATTCGCTGGCTAATTTGGTCATTGTTATTCCTGTTCTTGATGATGCGCCATGGTCTGAATTGAAAACCCACCAAGCGGTAATGAATGACTGGGAAGATCAGCTTAGGGACTTGGCTCCTGATGCTGGTGGATATATCAATGAGGGTACATATGATAATGTCCTATGGAAGGAGGATTACTTCGGAGTAAACTATGATCGATTGAGGGCCGTGAAGAAGAAGTATGATCCGTCTTTCACACTCTATACAGCCACGGCGGTGGGAAGCGATGCATTTACTTTTGAGTTGGGAGAGGGTAGATTGTGTACCGCTTAATCTTTGGTACTGTAATGCACACTAGTATGGGACGTATCGTCAAATTTTACAACTTCAAGCTTGTTTTCGATTTTGGAATTCTTCGCTTCAATAAAATTTAGAAATATATTATAGAAAGCTCATAGAATATTTGTCCTCAATACTTCATAATCCGCCCTAATAAAATTCTCTCTGCTATCCCACTTGGGATGTGATCCAATCAAAGAACTAATTCTCTTCAGCAAAGGAGCGGCCTGATCAAGTACCCACCTACATAAACCGAATTTGCGCCGCTTGGCAATTTTTTCAGATCTCTACTCCCGGAGAATAACTTCAGAATCCAGCAGTTGGCTCCGCTGGTTCCAAAGCATACAGTATCTGCTGCACAATCATATTCTTTTGGACGGAAATCGGTCTTATTGTACGATGTGGATTGGTAGAGATGATGGTACGACGCAAGTACGTTGTAATCCATCATTTTCCCTCACAAATTTGTTTCGTTGAAGGCACAGTCAATTTAATCATTGTGGCTATCACATAGGTTTCTAGGATATTCTTCTTCCCATTATTATGGTTCATATTCGTTTTTTGTTTGCTATGCAATCTGATATTTTTCTATTATCATCAAGATCCTCATTAATATATGGAGATAGTCAAATCGAAATTACTCTAATATGGATTTCAACTGGCAAGCATCGGCTTCAACGGAATCCTGATTCCGACCACAAATCTGGATACCATCACCATCAGCTCGAACAATTAGATATCTAGTATCGGCTCGGGACTACCATGGTGTGCTTTGTACTGTTGAATATCACGCTAATGCGTCATATCCATCCTCGATAGTATTCAAAGAGAACCTACACCCCCTATATATTGAAATAATAGGCATCTTTTTCTCCTCTCATACTCCTCCTGTATTCAACATGTACGAAGCGCTTAATCTATTGAGCTTATCAGTTATCGGTGGTGGAATTTCCCAGGCTGGTATGGATTGTTTAAATGTGAGTGGTATATGTAAAACGATCCGAATAATAGTTGCGTCATAGTGTTGATCGATTCTAGGTGGCTTGTCTTATTTTCGACTCGGTACGGATTGGCAGCTGACAATGTAAAGAACTTCGTGAGTGACAAGCTTCAATGTATCAACTCCGCGGCACTAGTTTTATTTGCTCCAATTTATCCATCTAACGTCCTTTTTCAGTCCATAACTGTGTAAATCTTATCATCTCTTGTCGCAGAACCTGAAGCGCGAGGAAGTAATCCAATGGGTGTTTTATCCCAAGTATGTTCATATTTGTATCTACAAACTATTTCAAGGTATATTTAGTAATAAATATCTATCTGATATTTCCAGAAGATAGATTAGTATAACTAATTAGACTTTCGCAAATAATAATAATAATAGCGTATCGAATACTACCAAATTAATTAATAACCAATTCAAAACATTTAACGCACTTTGAATCTCCATTATTGATATAAAACCCAAAATTCTCTGGTTCAACATGCATTCAGAAATATCAAGGAGATAATCCTAAGGAATATCTTGATCTCGTATGTAATGAGAGATCGCTTAGTTTAAGCTAGTCTTGAACTAAGGTTAGCATGATGATTAATCACAGATATATAATATTCGTTATATGATCTATAATTTACTCTCCCTCCCCTTTTCACTTTCCCCGTCTAGCTCACAAACCAGCACCCCCACCCCATATCCTCCCCTTCCTCTCCCTCTTCCCATTGATCTTCCTCCCCATCCCCAAAAATCCACTTCACAACCCCGTCCTTCTGACTCCTAACCTCAACTTCCATTTTCATCTGTCTGATCACACAGATAGTCTGGCCAGCCACTATCTGATCCCCTTTCTCTACGCAGACTTCGATGAGTTTTCCCGGGAAGGGTGCTGTGATGTGGTTTGGATTCTGGGAGTCACCTAGACGGTGGGCAGATTGTTGAGAGGTGGGAGTAGAGGAGGATGAGGTGAGGGAGAGTGTGTAAGGGGTCGTTTTTGTGGTGGTGGAGGAGGGAGAAGTGAATTGGATGTTGGCTTTCAGAGAGGAAGGAAAGTTGTTGGTGAGGATGCGGGTTATTCGCATGTGATATGGGATCGGCGTCGAATTCGCGGATTTTGTATCCATATTGGAGGATTCATCAGGAGTAAGTTCTATATTCCACGCATCTCTCGGACGGAACACCACACTCGATGAAGATGGTAAAGTTGGTAATGAGCTCATCGATACCGGTACTGCCGAATTCTTCAAGCCCTCGCTTATCTTCTTGGCGGATCTGAGTAACACCGGTAGGTTCATCTCCAACCATCTTGTATCGCACTCTTGCTTCTTAAATGCAACACTGTCGATCATTGCTCTTAACAAATCCAGGTTAGTTTCAATGCCAGTGATATATGTATCATCTAATGCTCGTTTAGCTTTCGCAATGATACCTTGCCAGGTAGGTGCGGTGATAATGAGCTTTGCTAGTAGACTATCGAAATCTGTGCCGATGATTGCAGGGACTGAAGGATGCAGATGAGTGTCTACCCGAATGCCGTTTCCGGAAGGGAAATGAAATAATGTGATTTTCCCGGGAGTGAGTGAGAAGTTTTGAGAGGGAGATTCGGCTGTGATGCGGAGCTGCAGGGAGTGGCTTTGAGGTGGGGTTAGTGGGGATTGAGGAAGAGATGATGGGAGGAGAGATAAGAGGGGGTGTCCTTGGGCGAGAAGAAGCTGTACTTGAACGAGATCAATACCGGATGCCAGAGATTCGGTAATGGTATGTTCGACTTGTAAACGCGGATTAATTTCCAGAAAATAGAACTCAGGCGATGATTGCCGAACCAAAAATTCGAAAGTTCCAAGCGAGTAATAATTTACCTTCCTCGCCATTCTCAATGCACTCTCAATAATCTTCTCCACTACCCCCTGTCGGGAACTGAACAAGGAGCAAACTCCACCACTTTTTGAAATCGCCTCTGGATACTACATTCCCGCTCCCAAAGATGTCTTACCCCTCCTTGGCCATCGCCAATAATTTGTACTTCCACATGTCTATATCCATCCACAGCCGCTTTCTCCGCAAAAACTTTCTTGCTTGGACTTTCTCTCAATGCTGCTTTTAACATCCCTTCTAGCTCGTCTTCTTTTGTCACGATCCTAATGCCACGACCTCCGCCTCCATCTACTGCTTTGATGATAATAGGATAGCCGACCTCTGATGCAAATTTCTGGAGTTGAATCACATCATCTGTGGGTACTTGAAGAGCTGGGAGAATAGGAACGTGACATTCCTGTGCCAGATTTCTCGCCATTAATTTATCACCTGTTCTATCTAGAATTCGGAATCCAGGTCCGATAACAACCGCATTAGCTTCTCTCCACATCCTTTCTGCAAACTCGGCAGATTCGGAGAGAAACCCATAGCCTGGATGGATAGTATCGATATTGTATTTTTGAACAATGGAAATCAGAGTTGGGATATCGAGATATGAAGATGGAGATGGAAGTTGAATCGATTGTGTTGAGTTGAGAGTGTGTGATGAGTCATTGGTGGTGTAGAGGGTGTAGGTTTCTATGCTCAGTTCACGTGCTGTGGATAAAATACGCGTTGCTATTTCTCCCCTTTCGAGGATTAGTTTGGGTGGAGATAAGAGGGGGCTGGTGGTTACCTATTTGCTATGAGAAGACGCTTGATAGGGCGGAAGGGTTGTTGTGTCATTTTCTGAATTGTATATAGAAATCTGGAAGTATGTGGAGCTGTATCCTTTCTGATAGAATTTGAAAGCAAAATGAATTGTGAGCTGATAACTATTGAAGCTTCCTCGATGTTCGAGATGTGGCCGAGCTCCAAGGTGTGGTTAAGCTTCTCCACAAAACACGGGGCGGGGGGTAAGCCGAGGTCCAAATCATGTAGATCATTAGATCTTCATCAACAAGCTCTCGAATCTTGACTTGTACTTTTATAAAGGGGTATCAAAGAATGTCATTTGAGAACCAAATATCACCTCATACATCATGACAAACGATAAGAAAGAGGAAAGCTCTTCCAAAATCGCGTCAGATCGAATATCTCAAGTAGCCGGTCATATCTCTAACACATCCAGTAAACGTCGAGGGCTGAAAACAAAAGATGATCTACCAGCCGATTATTCAGATATTCTCGGGACAATATCCTCCTTACAAAAGATAGCCCAAGCACCTGATCTCTCAAATAAAGGATACATCCGACAAAAGCAAGCCGGGAAACTCTGGGTCCGAGAACGAGTTCTTCAATTACTTGACGTAGATAGTCTTCGTGAGGTGGGTTCTATTTCTGGGACCGTGTCATGGAAGAAACTAGACCCGTCGGGAAACAAAGGAAAGAGAGAAGAGCCAATTTCTTATATACCAAGTAATAATGTACAAGGCTTTGGTTTATTGAGAGGAAGAAAAGTATTATTTACAGCGGATGATTTCAGCATTCGTGCTGGACATGCCGATGGTGCATTGACAGAAAAAACGATTTATATGGAAAAATTGGCTGTCGCGTTGAGATTACCTATTGTCAAATTGGTGGATGGCTCTTCGGGAGGAGGGTCTGTGACAACTATCAGGAAAGAGGGTTTTTCGTATATACCGCCCATGCCGTCTTTCAATCATGTGGTCGAACAGTTGAATATGGGTATTCCAAATCTAGGAGCTGTGTTGGGACCGGCTATTGGGCTTGGAGCTGCGAGAGTTGTTTCATGTCACTTTTCTGTGATGGCTGCAGATGTTGGGGCGTTGTTTAATGCTGGACCGAAAGTTGTTGCTGGTGAGTGCATTGTGTTGGCGGAAGGAAAATGCTAATCATCAACAGGTGCAACTTTTGAGGAAGGACTTACTTTCACAGATCTTGGTGGCCCAAGTATGCACTGTACCAATGGCACGATCGACAATATGGCGGGAAATGAACAAGAATGTTTTGAACAATTGAGGACGGTCTTGAGCTACTTACCAAACTCTGGTGCTTCTTTACCTCCAATTCTAAACACTGATGACCCAGCTGATCGACTTTGCGAAAGTCTAAGAACAATCATTCCACGCCGAAAAGCGAGAATGTATGATCCCAGAAAAATCATAAAGACTGTAGTCGATGCAGAAAGTTGGTTCGAAATTGGAGCACTTTGGGGAACTACTGCAATTGTTGGTCTTGCCAGACTTTCTGGTAGACCTGTTGGAATCATATCTATAAATTGTGAGATAAACGCTGGAGCACTTGATGCTGCTGGAAGTCAAAAGATCACTCGGCATCTCAAATTCTGTGATGTTTTCAATATCCCTGTACTCCAATTTGTCGATATTCCAGGGTATGCAATTGGAACCGTTGCAGAACGAGCAGCGACGATGAGGCATGGGGTAGCACTTGGGACAACATATTATTCTACAACGACTCCAGTCTTTAGTGTTGTGACGAGGAAAGTGTATGGGGTAGCTGGTGGAATCATGCTTGATTGTAGAGATCCTCGTTTCCGAGTGGCTTGGCCAAGTGGAGAATGGGGAAGTCTTCCATTAGATGGAGGTATTGAAGTTGGACATGCTGCAGAATTGAAAGCAGCAGACGCCAACGGAAAACGAGAGGAAAGATATAAAGAGTTGGAAGAAGAATATACTCGATTGATGAATCCAGTTAGAACAGCGAATGCGTTTGGAGTCGAAGAGATTATAGATCCCGCTGTTACACGACAAATAGTTTGTGAATGGTTGAAGCATGTGTGGGTACCTCTTCCTCTATAGTTTGTGATATTGACTAATGACATACAGATATGAGGAACTATTGCCCATCAGACTTTTGGATCGTGCGAATAAGAAAATACATCCAATCTTTTACTGAATTAGGACGTCGTCGCCACTGAGAGTTCATTTCTATTCCAAACTCCTCAATCACTGAACCGGCTAAATTGAAGGTGGCCACACCCCAATAGTTGATCGATTCGTAGACAATCCAGATTGACCCTCTTCATTGGTCGTGGAGAACAATTTACACCAACATCAATGATTTTGAGCACGTGCGATGACACTGCCCCTGCATCGAATGTTCTTCCTTTCTTCGCTGGCCCACACGTTCCCATTCATTTGGTGGCGCAGGCAGTACATAGGTGGCTTGCCTGTCCTGCTGGCTAGAGGAACAACGTATCTTATGAAGATCATAACCAATGGAATCTGATTCATCTCGTACAAAATCTGTGCTTGATATGTTGATGTGGCTCAGATTTGACGTTATAATGATTTGATCGACGTGACCATCTGATATTATCGCCAACGCATTGTGTATCAACCCATAGTAGATCTCACCAAGAAAATCAAGGCAAACCAGACTGCACCTTCCGAAAATTTCGCACAAATAAATTTTGAAACAGGGGAAAATATAAATTGTTATAAAAAGTAATCAATTATTTCTGTACCTGAATCCTGATATCGGTCGTTCAAGGACTACCTAGCATACGTCACTGGCACTAAGCGAGTGAGGCAATTCCAAGATCTATATCCAAGTTCCGCATTTTAAAACGTGAATATTTACCCCCTCCACCAAGACTATTTTTTCTCCACAAGAAAAGCAATCATACTTTGACATACTTTTGATAAATCATATTTTTGAAGTTATTCCCAAATTTCTGGAAAACTTTATAGAAAAAAAGAAATTCTACAAGACAAATTCGCAAATATGGGTGCTGTTTCAATGAGTGAGTTAATCTTACATGTGTTTTACCAACAACAATGAACGGCAGCTAACAATCCACCAAAGTTCTTTTGATCCTCGTCACCATCTTTATACCTCCAGTTGGTGTCTTCCTAGTATCAGGATGTGGACCTGATCTCCTCATAAACATATGTTTAACACTTCTTGGGTACACCTCTCTTTCTCTCCACCCGAAATCAAAACTAACATCCAAAAGATACATACCAGGACACATCCACGCATTTTACATCGAATATGTGTACTATGAACGACGAGAAGCAGGTAGAGAAGGAAGATTCCAAGCGGCGAGAGCTCCGGGAATTTATTCGGATAGGGTGCAAGGAGGTGGTTACGGTACGATCGTTGAACCTACGCATTAATGGGGGACATTGTCTGAGTTCAGCTTGTTTTGCAGTTCATGAGGCGAGGCCATAAATCGATTGGGAGTTCGAGACCGGAGAGGATGTAATGATGGGGTGTTTGGGGGGTTAGGATGAAGATAATATGGGGCACATAATGATGGAGATGATAGACGGTAGAAATTGTGCTATATATGGGAGAATCTGGGGAGAGACTTGGGGAGTTCACGAATAACTACTTGGGATACCAGCTTGTCTTTTGAAAGCAATATAAAAGCTGCGTTGGGTTGGCGATACCAAATTTGGATACCTGTTTCATTTTTCCCCTTTGATTGATTACAAGAGAGAATCTTGAATACAGAAAGACTCTGCGCACAAAGCCTCTCTTGATGCATCTGCAATATCGAGTACACAATACATACAATTTCCCCAATTTCTCCAATATCAAGTACACCGCCACACCGTGTTATAAGCTTCAGCCACATCTTACCCCACAATCCACTAAAATAGCTTAATCATGAAGCTTTCAGATTGAGACGTGTTAAACCCGAAAGTCCAGATTGCGACAATATCTCTATCTATCGATTCCGTCCACATTTGACGGAACATCGACCACTGCACTACTATCAGGACCCATACAACGACGGCGCATGTAGGAAAGGACTTTGACCGCATATACAATACCTTCCAATTGGACGCAGAACAATTCAAGCAAGCATGCATTCCTCAGTAGTGCGCATCCAAAATGTCTTTGGATTCTTCACCACAGTGGCATTTGTCGTCGCGGCTTTGATCGCATGTACAGATATTATTTCGCCGCGTACACCCAGTGCCAAAGTAGAAGTGAAAGATATTCAAGTGTACGTTTCCCTCCATGACTCTCTCTCCCTTCAAACACAACTAATTCTCCCCAGCGTAAAAGGACGTCCACATTACTATTCCACGAAGAAAGAAGAATACGCACACATCCGATTCTCCCTCAACGCAGACTTTTCCTCCCTCTTCAACTGGAACACTAAACAAGTCTTCGTCTATGTTTCTGCATCATGGCCTTCCAATTCTTCGGAACCTCAAGTTCTAAATAACGAAGCGGTCATTTGGGATACGATTATCACGAATCCAAGCGCGGATCATTTGCAAAATATTGGACCGGCTGCGATGAAGAAATTGATTAAGAGTAGTAAGGGAAAGAGTATTGATCCTTCGAGGTTGGTTTTCTACGTTTCTTTATCTTGATTGGAGCTTCCTCCCTTTGAAACTTATGCAATAGAAGAGATGTACTAACAATCACCACCCACAGAGGTATTCTGAAACTCAAGAATCAAAAAGCGAAATACCAAATCACACAACCGGGTGGAAAACTCGCATCAACAGAAGGAGTTGTGTTGAAGGTTCATTATAATGTGCAACCATGGGTTGGAGCCCTTACTTGGACTCCTCAAATAGAGTTTCTGAGATGGAAAAAGGTCAAGGGGGGTGTGAGTAAGGTTTTTGGATTACCCGCTTTGAAGGAGAAGAAGAAGGCTGCAGAATAGGGGACCAGGTAGAGGGGTGTTTGGTGTGATCTGGAGGGGAATGGGGTTAATGAGATAATGGTTATGGAACTATTTTTCGAGGATGGTATTTATGTATCGTTATAGATTTGGACTGGAAGAATGCGGATGCGAAATATACCATATTGGATTTCAGCAATGAACCATTATTTTCTAAACATCATTGTGCTGATTGCATTCCTATTCTTCTCCGTTGAGACATCTCCGCCATTGCTTTATTCTCAAGCGGGGAGACTACACTCCACTCTATCAAAAGCCTACAAGTGCATGCCACCATGGAGAAGTGGTATAGATCCACAACAGTTATCAGGTATCAATCCTCTTTTCTTCTTCTCCACGCCTGTTTATGAAAGGCATGAAGAGAGCGTACAAGCGATCAAATTATGCTCTGATCGCAGAAATGATCGACTGCCATGGAGAGGGCTTTGTTTTTCTTATGGGAAGGAGTTTGAGGTTCGTGCATGCAAATGAAGTTGTATGGTGCAAGTAGCAATTCAAGGGGGGGTGAGGGAGTGGTGATCATGTCTATCGAACTCTCTTTTTCCATCCTCTCCTTTCGTATCCCTGTCCATATCCCTCTCCCTAAAAGAGAAATATGAGAAAGATACCGCATGATTCCTCATCTCGATTTTACTTCTCTCCGACTCCCAAGCAGAACAAGCGAAAGTAACAAAAAATAAAGGAACGTGACTTGAATCCTGAATCATGTATAGAGGATAATAAGATATCAGCTAGAGATGAGAATCAAGGGGAGAGGCAGGAGGTGCAAGGTTTCCGAAGGCGTGAAGGTAACCGTTGATATTTTATTAACTTTATTGCTTTCTCTCGAGAAGACAGGGGCTTGAAGTGAGTAATCGCATGAATAATATATACTGGATACTATACGCTATTAGAGTATAAAAGCTTTGATTTCTTCACGCCCAGCAAGTCAAAGCTTTCTATGCGAATAGAGTTGTGGATTGATGGTCCTGGGCTGCGAATGGGCTACTAAGTTATTGGAAAGAGTTTCTACACTTTGTCATCATATCCTGAAGTCGCTTGAAGATTTGGAAGAAATTAGATAGGTCTGGGGAAGCACTAAGCGACGATGTTTTTCGTGAGTCGCAGTGATGAAGTGGAATGATGAAAAGGGTGGATGGTATAATGAGAATTCAATGACATTAAGAAAGTGAATAATGGTAAAAGTCTAGGACTATATACCTGTTTTAGATTTTGCAATTACATCCTGTGGTTTTGTCGGAAAGATCACTCTTCAGATATTGGTATACCGGGTAAGAGGAGGGGAATGTAATGCGCTAAGGGATTTTAGGAAGAAAGGACGAAGAGGGAATAGCGTCGTTTATATACTACAATAAGCTTCCGGAGGGGAGGGTGCAAGGCCATGGTGTGGTGCTCATGAAAGAAGCTCTAGTAATTCATGATCTTGTAGTGAATGAAATTCTCTAATGGTCGTGGGGGTTTCATATGGTAGAGTAGATGAATTATTCTCGGAGTGTGACATTATGTGAGCGAGGAGATCAAGATATTCATTTCTCTACTAAGGGTGACCAGGATTCAAGACCAGATGTGACTATAAAATACTTTGAAGTCTGAGGAATTTGAAGTTCGATATGTGCTGGTAAACTTCTGGAATGTCAACTAACAGGGAGTTGATCATTATGTGGTTGATCCCATTTCTAAGGCTCGATATGAATTACATCCCAAAAGATTTGGGCTATCAGAGTAGGAGCGAGTATTTTGAAGTGATGATGGAGAGCAAATTCCTGGCAAGATGATAGCAGTTAAGAAGTGACAACAATTATTATTTTGTATAAGTGGATGGCAATAATCAGATTCTCATCGTTGATACTCAACGTTCATTTACTCGCCTTACACTCTTCCCCATGCGCTTTATTTCACATGTCACTCTGTCTCATGCGCTATATTCTTTTTCACGTCAACCTTGATTCAATTTAGATTTGAATGCTCTGGAGTCCAGAGCAATGGAGGAAGGAAGGAAACTGGGCATGTATTTATGTGTATCTCCTCCATTTTCTCTCTGGCAAAGGAATGAAAAGTTGAACTTGCGGTGTCTAGATAATTTAGAAGATACAATTTTGGTGAACGGATTTGCTTGTGAGCTAATGTAAAAACCCGAATTGACGAGAGCTCGAATCTGTATCGCAATAGGACATCAACAGAACAATGGATGATGTAGGAGCGGGTAAGAGAAAAGGAGAAAATGGCATTTCAGAGTCAGAGCAAGTTTGGTAGTTGTTAATAAGGCAGATATTGAAGGCACATTGTTTTATGGTTGTTGAACCTTTTTATCAATGATGAGAATGTTAAAATGACAGCGAAATAGGCGAAGGTTCGTCGACAACATTAACGACAACGGAGCCTGAGTTTTAATAGTGAAATTATTCAGTCATCGTAATGACAAAAAGAAAGAAACGGCCATCTTCAACACATCTGACAGGTTTTGTGTAAAAATCTTACACCTCTTAGCTCATCTTAGTTTTGATCTAGGGCAAGGCAAAAATCATGAGAACGCCGGCACAAGCTAAGCGAGTAAAGTTGTGTTCTCTTGGCTAGATTGACTTTGGGTTAGGGGAGACTGATTACCGGAATGAGTATAGCGCGTCAATGATGAGCGTAATTCATGAATGATTCACACATTATGGAAGATAGCGCGAATAATTCACCAACGATTTGCACAATAGAGTTATTCATTTGCTTGTTACAAGAGTGTCGCACACGCACTAAGTGTGTGAATTACACACTATGTACATGATTAATGGCATACGTGATTCAAAATACCTATCTTCAGTAGATACAGAAGACTTCTTTCGAAGGGTATAAAGTCTCGACTTTGGCCTCCCCATTATCTTCAAACAATTCTCACATACATTCAAAGACTGAACAAAAACTCCTTCACGACTCTTCCCTTTCATTATCACATAGCATAGCTTCCCAATATGTCTTTATCTTTTGAAGGACTCAAACCCGAGGAGTTTCAAATTCTCGAGCAGGAAAAAATCATTGGCGCTTCCATAAATGGGAAGAGAAAGGTTTCCACCGGACTTTTGAGTAAGTTTTCTTGGCAACATCCTTCATTGATATCTTCCGGCTCCATTATACCAGCTACTGATATCAACATCTTTAGGTCCAGATCACAGCGATGGGAGCACTACATCTTCATTAAGTTCTGGATCCACAGCTTCAATCCGAGTCCTTCACAAAGCTGCAGCAAGTGTTGGAAGTTTCGAACTTCCGGAGAGCCTCGAGTGTCTAACACTTGTCGAGTATCTTGGATACACGAGAACCAAAGCTGCAGAGATCTTCACAAGATGGACTGCTCGTCCAGATCCAGACTCTAATCCATATTCCCTCAAGGAGTAAGTAGCAACACTTCTTGTCACTCACGCTACTAGCAGCCCTATGTTTCGCTTTTCTGAGCGTGTAGAACATTACTGACCTTGGTTCCTTCTAGTCACGCCCTTGTTGAGCTTAGCAATCTCGAGAGAGAGCCTCTCAGAGATTTTCTTGATCGACCAGCCGAGGCAATGAGACGTCTAGGGATTGCAGAGGAAATGGTGAACTGTATGACGGCTCCAGAGCATAAAGCTATGTTCAAGACCGAGACGCTTGCTGCTTGGTTGGACACTGCCATGCGCTCTAGATATGGAACCGCGATGCGATATCTGGATATCTTGAAGGCTCAAGCCATCCGAACCATCCGCTTGAAGAAGGGCAAGAAGAGAGGAAAGATTGATGGCGTTTTCCAGCCTGGTGGTTCCACTCCTGACACCGATGTCGCTTTAGCCACGAGTACTGCTTCCATGAGCTTGGAGTCCAAGTTTGCAGGTGAAATGTTCCCTCGCGAGTATGTAACGATTGTTCAAACCCCACCGCAAGCTCGCCCAGGATTCGTCACTTTGTACAAAGGAAAAAGCACAGGATTCGACTATCAGAAACCAACGACGCTCATTAAGGAAAACGGAAATCTCAACATGCAATTCATAACAACGTACGCTGGGGGGGATTTCAACGGCCAGGATTTAGCGTGGTATTGGACGAGGGAGAAGGAGACTGCGGAGCAGTACCGCGAATGGGCAGCAAAGTACGATGTCCACGGCGAAACATGGATCATGCAAATACAAGTTCCGGAAACATTTTTGCAGAGCGTCAAGATTGAGAGATTGTGGTATGGATATGACTGGAAGCAGTATCTTTGGTACTGCAAGAAGATGACTCGCAATTCCGACTTGCCGGAGAACTTGCACAAGTATGCCACCGCTGATGTCATGGAGGGACATATTTGTAAGCGCCATCCTTCCATTGTACCAAAGATTTTGAAACAAGATGTTCAGCGGAAACTCACGGAGGACGATTGTTTGGTTTTTGGCAATGGACGAAATTCGACACAGACGGTGTTCATGAACTGGGAGGTAGTCGATAGGCTTGAGCCTCTCATTAGAGGAAACATGTACATAGAAGTTCATCTCGCTTCGGTCAAACAAGCATAGATGATGAAGGGGCACGGTGTAACATAGTAGGTTGAAGCATGGGTTTTTGAAACGTAGTTTATATAAATAGCACAGTCTGAAGTTTTACTTTTCTGCAAATCGGTAGGGACATGTTGTTGTTTGGGATATACATAAGCTTTCTATATCACGTCTTTTAATCTAATTCTTAGATATATTCTCTCATTCTCATTTGAACAATCAAAATTCCCTTTCTCACTTATTCCCCCATTGTCCCATTCTTACCTGAACTTTGAAAATTCACTTTATTCCTCTTATTCTCTCCAATACACTCGGACATTCAGGATCCTTATATTCTCTACATCATCTCATCCCGATCAACATTTCAAAGTTCATACATTCTCTCATTCCTAATAACCAATTAAATTCTCTACAGCCTCTCATTCTCATCCCCATCCTCACTTAAACATTCAAAATCTCTATATTCGTTTATATTTCAATCAAACATCTAAAATC